TTGCATTGCATAGCATTCTAAAGGTCTACCCATAATGACACATTGGATTTGTGATTGCCATGTGGTTAAATTTTATTGGTAATGATGTAACATATTATTGTGCATTGGTATTCCAAAGTCTATATAATAGACATAAAGATTGGATTACATAGGTGTGTATTAATAATTAATAATAATACTAATTATATAAGTGCATTGCATTGACATTTTAAAAGTCTAGCCATAATGAACCTTGGATTTGTGATTGAATTTTATTGGTGATGATGTGACAATATTAATTATTGTATTGGTATTCCAAATCTATAATAGACATAAAGATGAGATTACATAATGCATTGCATTTAGTAAGAGCATATTTGTTTATTAATTATTATATAGGTGCATTGTATTGACATTGCAAACATTTCTTGTATTCAATTCGTATTTAATGTGTGGTGCATTCGAAAAGTTAAATAAGGGGTTATAAAAGGGGTGTATGTTCAGTTGTATTTATCGTAATATGTTTTTGGTGTCAAATACGTCTAGTCTTTATTAATTGTTTATAGGTCATGTTAGTTTGTGTCAATAATATGTCTATTCTTATGATTTTGTTAATCGATGATTTTTTATTTATTTATATTTTTTGTTGTTGTTTGCAGGTCACAGATTCTGAATTGGCATGGAATAAAGGAAGGATGTCCGATTGACATTGTCAATTGAGTTGTTATTTTGATTCGTTCTTCTGAACTTTAATTATATCTTCTAACTATTTTAATACGAAATTGTAAGTATATCTTCAACTTTTTAACGGTTATATTTTGATTGAATGATTGTTTTGTTTTCAGTCAAATTATTTGAATGATTTTGTGTTAGTCCTATCGAACGGTAGTGTATTCCTTAACAATTTATATGAAGATTAATTACACTTTATTGATTTAGTTTTCAGGTCCATGTTATTATACGAATGATAATTGTTCCTTAACAATCTTAACTTAAAGATCAATTAATTTTTGTTATGTTTGTTTTCAAGGAAATGTTCATGTACTTACTAAGATCAAATCGAGGTGATCTTATTGTCAGTCGAACTGTGATATGTGTCATATATCTATATTAGTAGAAAATTCATATTTGTTGAATATGTTTTCTGTAAAAAAATTCGTGTATTTTAATTTGTTGTATGAATAATTAATTTTTATGTCCTGCTGATATGCTAGCATAAATGATAAATGAACTAATTTTGGTTGATTCCATTTTCCAATTAATAGGTGTTGTTTGAATTTTTTTTATCAGTCTTAATATAATAATCCCTTAATCTAGGCCGTAAACCATTCATTTTATCATCACACATATTTCAATTTCCACTGAACGTCATAGTAAATTGACCATAACTTGCTCAATAAAACTCCAATTGATGAGAGGTTTGAATCTTTAGAAACTAAACAGACAGGCTTTAATTTGGCATAATATACGTTAATTTGGATAACTGTAGCCCCCACTGCCGAACCATTCCTTTTATCATACACCATTTTGGTTTCCCCTGTTTCTCGTTACCACTACAATCAGTAGTAATTGGTCATAACTTACTCAATAAAATTCCATTGATGATTGGTTTGAATCTTTGGAAACTAGAAAGATAGAGCTTTAATTTATATATATATGATGAATTTGAATAACTATAGACCTGCAGCCGAACCATTCATTTTATCATCACAACACAAACCAATTCAATTTATTTATGACAAAGGAAAACAATATTAATATGTAGTTTTAATTGTATTTTTTCTATCTCTTTTTTGATATTTTTCTATGTTACATACAATATCGAAAACAGGTTATGCTGGATATAACAAATTTTATTTGTATCACAATATCATCTGATGTTGTTGTTGAACCATGTAGCTTTAGTAAACCATTTATATATGCCGAACCTTATTATTATCCTTAAAGGAAAGCAAATATTGATATATAGTTTTAATTGTAATTGTTATATCTCTTTTTGTTGATATCTTTTTATTTTACATACTATATTATGAAAAGTGGTTGTTGCTAATATAACTAATTTCATTTATTTAACAAATATCATTGATGTTTGATGCTGAACCATTTAGCTTTAGTAAACAATCATTTTATCATCCCCTTTAGGTTTTACTTAACAATCAATAGTAATTAACTATACTTGCTTAATAAAACTCCAATTGATGAGAGATTTGAATCTTTAGAAACTAGATAGACAGAGCTCAATTTGTATATTATAAGCTTATTTGGATAACTGTAGCCCCATATGACAATTCATTTTATCATCAAGCATTTCGATTTCCACTAAACAGTAAATTGACCATAACTTTCTATAAAAATCCAATTGATGAGAGGTTTGAATCCTTAGAAACTAGATAAATATGCTTTAATTTGATATATTATACGCTTATTTTTGAATACTGTGCCTCACTCAACTATTCATTTTATACACACACATTTCGGTTTCTAAAACATCAGTAGTAAATTGGCTAAAACTTCTCAATAAAAATGCAATTGATGAGAGATTTAAATCTTTAGAAATTAGATAGACAGAGCCTTAAATTGATATATGATACCTTAATTTGGATAACTAGCTCCAATATCGAACCATTCTTTTATTATCACATACATTTCAGTTTCCCCTATTTCCGATTTCTACTGATAGTCATAGTAAATTTGCTTATACTTGCCATAAAAATCCAATTGATATGGTTTGAATCTTGGAAACTAGAAAGATAGAGCTTTAATTTGATATATTATATGATAAATTAGAATAACTATAAACTTGCTACCGACCATTCATTTTATCATCACACATATAAACAATTTCAATTTAGTGATGACAAAGGAAAACAAATATTGATATATAGTTTTAATTATATTTGTTCTATCTCTTTTTGTTGATTTTTGGATTGATTTTGGTGTTTGATTTGTGGGTTTTACAATTATCATCTTCTTTAGAATGCTATCATCAAATGCTTTTTTTTTATAGGTGGTGGTCAATTCTAATTGCAGCAAATAAAATTGTATTACAATTCTAATTTTATATTGCGAAGGTTATATTGTTGGAGTTGTTTGTTGCATGTATGTGAGTTCTCTTCTCAACATTCTTAATTTTTTTTAATTTCTAAAATATAATAATAAAATATTTCATTTTCCTTCTCAACAATCAAAATCAATTTTTTTCCTTTGGCTCTGCAAATCTCTTGCTTAAAAGTTCCATTTTCAACAATTTTCCTTCTCCGATTGATTATTAGACTTATCAATAATACCAAGTGGGTTATCCTGCAACTGTTTTTACTTTTCTTGACAAAGTTTTAAACTGGTTGTGGATTTCAAATGGTGACATATTTACAAAGAACCTGATGATAAGACTTTGAGTTCAATTTTTGGATATTTTATTTATTGATTTAATTGTCAATTCAATAAAAATGAAATTCAATATAGAAAAATATATATTTAAAACACTAAAAACCAATATAATGTAAAAAAATACTCGCGCAATGCAACTGAAACGAATATAAGTTACAGAAATTGCTGAAGGTCAGTATAATTTTAAGTTTAAATTTTGATCTTGATAATATTCAGGTAATCTTCCATATCATACATGATTCACGACAAAGATTAAAAAATATTACCCCAGCTATCTAATATTAACTCCATCCTAACGGCCCCTAAGAGGTTTTATTATCAATCCAATGTAATCAATTAAATTGATTGCTTTGTTTACTTTTTTTTTTTTTTGGAAAATATATAAGTGTAACTAAAAATATTATTCAAAGAATTAAAAAATACATTTTAAATGGTTATATAAAGACCCTATTGTCTTTGAGTTTAATTAAGCTTATTAAGGACATTTGAAAACCATTTTCTTTTAATCTTTTTGGTACTGTAGATAGTTCATATAATCTTTAACGTGAAAAATATTGAATCTCCTATGAAAATATTAACACAAATGATAATTGGAAAGTTGTTAAATACATTTTTAATTAATCTTTTTTTTTTTTTTTTTTGTAATTAATTAGTGGTGGAGAGAATAACATTATCCAAATAACAACATTTAGATCATCACCATAGAGGCCAATGATAGATAATAACTCCCATTCCAAACATAGCTTACAACTTTCATCATACTGTGCACTCCTAAGAGCAACTCTTCTCAAAATCTCAAAGAGTGTTGAGTTGGAATCCCATTCTAAGTAAGGATTCTTGTGGTTTTGGAGGATACAGCTACAAAAGAGCCGGGAACGGAGAACTTTCCCCTCTTTTCCCCCGACTCTTTGGTCTTAAGAATGACAGTTTTAAGAATTAGCGGTTGCTCCTTCTCTGACCGCCGATTTTAAGAATGAGTAATTGCTTTTCTGTGACCCTTAACTGCCTAACCTGAAAGTGGATAATTAATGCAGTCCACTTATCGAGCAAGGTTTTATGGTCGGTCCTCGACCTTTGGATTATCCTTAGGTGAATTGAAAGGTTAGAACAAAGGTAACATTTTTTACTCGTAACAACAATCTTTAATTCTATATCTAATTTTTTTATTTTCAACTCCATTTCTAACTCAAAATTCAGAGTCACGGAGCCAATAGTTTAAAAGAATAACACTAAAATAAATAATTAGGTTTAAAACTCACGGGAACATATAATTTTGTTTTTGTTGGTTGAAGAATTGGATCACCATCATTTTGTCACATCAAAACTCTTAAATAATTTCAAGCAAAAGAGGCGTCTACAATAATTACCCATGACTACTTTGTGCCATATCGTAAAGCAACAAAAGAGACATCTAAATTAAACAATTGAACCCTTGATAAGGTAACTTTGGAGTCATATATCTTCACAAAAAAAAACCCAATAGAAATATGCCACCTCAGCATTTCCGACGACCCACTAATCGACTCCTGACAAATGTCACAGCATGATTGGACCTTCTCTCTTCACATGAATGTTTGAGAAGAGAAAATAATAGTAAACTTTGAGGTTAATGAGAGCTAGAAGATGCATACCCAGACAAAATCATCACGAAGAAACATCCATCATAATAATATTCCTCAATACCCACCAAGCCAAATACCAAAAAAAAATTAAGAAAAATAATGTTCATGATTTGGATTTATATTTGTGAACACAAGACTCATTGAGACTTAACATGGAAGTATTGTTTTAGGGTTTCTTGAATAGTTCAACTTTGTATTGTATGTTCATAGTTCTGTTTTTGTTTCTGGTTATATTAATGGCGGATTCCAATTCATTTGAAGATCAAGAGTGTGATTATTTGTTCAAGGCAGTGATGATCGGGGATTCTGCAGTTGGGAAATCGAACCTTTTATCAAGATTTGCAAAGGATGAATTTAGGTTAGATTCAAAGCCAACCATTGGAGTTGAATTTGCTTACAAGAATATTAAGGTTGGAGATAAGCTCATCAAGGCTCAAATTTGGGACACTGCTGGACAAGAAAGGTATTTTTTTTTTTTTTCTTTATTATATATAACTCCTGTTTAATTATAATCCATAGTTTAATTTCATTTAATCCTTGAGTTTTAATGGAGAATTTTTAATAATATGGATCATGAAACTTAGTTGAAGTTGGTTGTGGCTTTACCTTCTTCTTCTTTTGATTCTAACAGTGTTAGTTTTTCAATAGTAATTAATAATAAATATTTAATTAAAAGGTTAAGAGCCTGTTTGGTAGGTTATTTGAAAAAAATGTTATTCTGAAAAACTATCTGAATATGATAGGATATGATTAAATCAAATATGATAGGATTCTGAGAATGTGTTTGGTATAATATCTGAAAATTATATCTGACTTGGATAAAAATTAGAATATTTGTTTGGTACATTTTTGGAAAACATTTAGATTATTTTTTAATCTTCTATATTTGTTAATTTAGCTAAACACTCCCCATAATAAAATTTTATAAATTAACAAAAACACCTCCACTCACACAAAAATTATCGATAGTGTCGGAAATTTTTTTAAACACTCCCCATTATTTTTTTAAAATTTTTTAATCTTCTATATTTGTCATTACCGTCGAATGGTAGTCGGAAGTTGTCGGAATGGCGCATGTCTGACTAGATCTGGTCGGTCGTGCGTCGATCTAGCCTTTTTTTACTAGAACTACGGCCAGAATATGGCCATCATCAATGGCCAGATCGACGCAAGACCAGCCGGTCATGCATCGTTCCGGTGCTGATGACCGGTGGTGGCTTAGGTGGATAGGGGTGTTTTTGTTAATTTATAAACTTTTATTGTGAAATGTAATTGTTTTTTGTTAAATAGAGTCGAAAAAAATATTAGAATAGAATAATAGAAAACAAGTCTCACCCACTTTCATTTTTAATTGAAAAAATCTTATTTGCTTCGAATTGATTTTCAAAATAATGATCATAATAAATAAATAAACACATATTCCGTTTTTTAATTTAAATAGGATAACAAAAAAATGATTGAAAAGAGTGAAACAAACAGAGAGCAAATTGTTTAAACGGGTTAAACGGGTTTAAAGACTAAACTCGAATACGATCCGTTATGAAACATGTTAAAAAAAGTTGATCCATTAATGACTATACCAATTTTGTGTACCTAAATTATGTCTCAATTTTATTGCAGGTTTAGAGCCATCACAGGTTCGTATTATCGAGGAGCCCTAGGAGCTCTACTAGTTTATGACATAACTAGAAGAGTAACCTTTGAAAATATAAAGAAATGGTTGCATGAACTCAGAGAATATGGCAATTCATCCATGGCCATTGTTCTTGTTGGCAACAAATCTGATTTAACCCATTCCAGAGAAGTTAATGAAGAAGACGGCAAAGCTCTTGCAGAGCTTGAAGGTTTATATTTCATGGAAACTTCTGCCATGGAAAATATTAACGTCGAGGACGCGTTTTTGCAATTAATTCGTAAAATTTATGAAACTACTATCCAAAAAAATTTAGAAGCTAAATTGAATGAACCAATCCCCCCAATTATCCAACCTGGAAAACAAATTATCAATATTGTTGATGAAGTTACTGCTACTAAACAATATAGTTGTTGTTATAAGTAATTAGCTTTCTTTTTTTTATTTCTCTTTTTTTCTTGTGTAATTTTTTTTTTTTTTTTTTTTAACTTTGTTATATATACAGTTTTATGATACAAATTGTTGGCCTTGTTGCTAGGGGTTGATTTGTTGGCACAGTTTCATGATATATGAGTAAAATTACATTTGAAGGAAAAGGTTGATTTGTTGCTAGGGGTTCGCAAATTTTTAGGGTAAATCCGGAATCGATGGGTACTTGGGGTGTCAGAAATTTGGTGGAACCGGCGCATGCATATCTGAGTCCACTACTAGTTCCACCATTTCAAGATCCGGACTTGGACTCGGATCTGAGAATCGAAACCGAAGTCTAGGTACCCAAGTTGGAATCGACCATTACTTGAGGTGTATTTGTAATATTTACAAATAGTTGGGGGTTATTTTAAATTTTCACAGGGTATATTTGTCATTTTTGCAAATAGGAGTGGTGTATTATAATTTTGTATGACAATGTCGGTGCCCAGGCCTAGAACCAGAACCTTGGTTCAAGTTATGGTTCTAGGCATTTAGGAACTGGAATCGACCAGGTCCGATTCCGGTTCCTAAATCTTAGGAATCATCAGGTCCGACTCCAATTCTAAGGGATTGGGNTTCTTCTTTTGATTCTAACAGTGTTGGTTTTTCAATATTAATTAATAATAGATATTTAATTAAAAGGTTAATTATAATATGGATCATGAAACTTATTATTCTAACAGTGATGGTTTTTTTTCTTTATTATATATAGCTCCTGTTTAATTATAATCCATAGTTTAATTTCATTTAATCCTTGAGTTTTAATGGAGAATTTTAATAATATGGATCATGAAACTTAGTTGAAGTTGGTTGTGGCTTTACCTTCTTCTTCTTTTGATTCTAACAGTGTTGGTTTTTCAATATTAATTAATAATAAATATCTAATTAAAAGGTTAAGAGCCTGTTTGGTAGGTTATTTGAAAAAAAATGTTATTCTGAAAAACTATCTGAATATGATAGGATATTATTAAATCAAATAGGATAGGATTCTGAGAATGTGATTGGTATAATATCTGAAAATTATATCTGACTTAGATAAAAATTAGAATATTTGTTTGGTACATTTTTTGAAAATATTTAGATTATTTTTTAATCTTCTATATTTGTTAATTTAGCTAAACACTCCCCATAATAAAATTTTATAAATTAACAAAAACACCCCACTCACACAAAAATTGTCGATAGTCGGTCATCACCGTCGAATGGCAGTCGAAAGTCATCGGAATGGCGCATGTCTGACTAGATCTGGTTGGTCGTGCTTCGATCTGACCTTTTTTTACCAGAACTACGGCCAGAATATGGCCGTCATCAATGGCCAGATCAATGCAAGACCAGCCGGTCATGCATCGTTCCGGTGCCAATGACCGGTGGTGGCTTGGGTGGGTAGGGGTGTTTTTGTTAATTTATAAACTTTTATTGTGAAATGTAATTGTTTTTTGTTAATTAGAGTCGAAAAAAATATTAAAATAGAAAAATAGAAAACAAGTCTCACCCACTTTCATTTTCAATTGAAAAAATCTTATTTACTTCGAATTGATTTTCAAAATAATGATCATAATAAATAAATAAACACATATTCTGTTTTTTAATCTAAATAGGAAAACAGAAAAATGATTGAAAATGGTGAAATAAACAGGGAGTAAATTGTTTAAACGGGTTAAACGGCTAAACTCGAATACGATCCGTTATGAACATGTTAAAAAAAGTTGATCCATTAATGACTATACCAATTTTGTGATACCTAAATTATGTCTCAATTTGATTGCAGGTTTAGAGCCATCACAGGTTCGTATTATCGAGGAGCCCTGGGAGCTCTACTAGTTTATGACATAACTAGAAGAGTAACCTTTGAAAATATAAAGAAATGGTTGCATGAACTCAGAGAATATGGCAATTCATGCATGGCCATTGTTCTTGTTGGCAACAAATCTGATTTAACCCATTCCAGAGAAGTTAATGAAGAAGACGGCAAAGCTCTTGCAGAGCTTGAAGGTTTATATTTCATGGAAACTTCTGCCATGGAAAATATTAACGTCGAGGACGCGTTTTTGCAATTAATTCGTAAAATTTATGAAACTACTATCCAAAAAAATTTAGAAGCTAAATTGAATGAACCAATCCCCCCAATTATTCAACCTGGAAGACAAATTATCAATATTGTTGATGAAGTTACTGCTACTAAACAATATAGTTGTTGTTATAAGTAATTAGCTTTCTTTTTTTTATTTCTCTTTTTTTCTTGTGTAATTTTTTTTTTTTTTTTTTTTAACTTTGTTATATATACAGTTTTATGATACAAATTGTTGGCCTTGTTGCTAGGGGTTGATTTGTTGGCACAGTTTCATGATATATGAGTAAAATTACATTTGAAGGAAAAGGTTGATTTGTTGCTAGGGGTTCGCAAATTTTTAGGGTAAATCCGGAATCGATGGGTACTTGGGGTGTCAGAAATTTGGTGGAACCGGCGCATGCATATCTGAGTCCACTACTAGTTCCACCATTTCAAGATCCGGACTTGGACTCGGATCTGAGAATCGAAACCGAAGTCTAGGTACCCAAGTTGGAATCGACCATTACTTGAGGTGTATTTGTAATATTTACAAATAGTTGGGGGTTATTTTAAATTTTCACAGGGTATATTTGTCATTTTTGCAAATAGGAGTGGTGTATTATAATTTTGTATGACAATGTCGGTGCCCAGGCCTAGAACCAGAACCTTGGTTCAAGTTATGGTTCTAGGCATTTAGGAACTGGAATCGACCAGGTCCGATTCCGGTTCCTAAATCCTAAGAATCATCAAGTCCGGGTCCAATTCTAAGGGATTGGGTCGGACCTGCTCACCCCTATTTATTGCTATGTGGAAGGATTTATTTAAAGGGGAGGAGTCCCATATTGAATGATGACTCCAACAAATAGTGTCATGACTTTATTCCGCAACATCGTGACAAGAGCAGCAAGTGTAAAGAGTGTATGAGGTTGAAGGGTTTCGTAAAATATTCACATGAGGTGTGACAACTGAGGCGTCAAATATGTTTTTCTTATGACATATTGACAATGCTTCATAAGACTCTTTAAGAGGGAGATACTCCGTGAAAGAGAAGTGTAAGAATCATTAAAAGTCGTTTTTCATAGTTGACAATAAAGAATCATTAGAAGTCGTCTCAAGGAGAGGGTGGATTTTGAAATCTATCCTCAATCAAATATTGAACTTTAATTTGTGATTTTTGTTATTCGCTTTACCAATTAGAATTAATTTTGAAAAATGAGGAAATACTAATTTAAAGCCGTTGGTCAGTCATTGTTATGGCCTTCAAGAGTTATTTTCTCTTATTTTAGACTATTATATAAATTCTGTCTGTGATTTTCTTAAAACACAGCCCCTATCATCACCATAAAAAATAGCTTAGATTGAATTTAAATATTTGAGTTATGAGAAAACAAGAAATTAAAAAAGATTTGGGGTCAATTCCAAATTTTAAAATTTTACTTTTAAAATTTATTAATTTATTTTTATCTCTAAAATATGTGCAAATTTATTAATTCTCAATTTTCAAGTTAAAACCTGAAATAAAACCGCTACTCTAACTTACGTGTCTGTCTATCACTGATACTGTCACTTTAGCAGTTTGCTTCTATCTTCTTCTTCAGCTCAACGAAACAGAAGGTCGTTGTTGTTGGTTATTCTAAATTAAAATGTAAAAAACAAATTAAAAATTTTTAATTCTTTCCTCGTGCTTGAACTCCAATTCAAATCCAAAGAAATTACAATGGCGAATTGGATCTCCAACAAACTCAAAGTCGCCGAAACTTTCCTTCAGCAGGTTAATATCCCTTTCTCTCTCTCTCTCTATTTTTTTTTTTTTTTTTAGTTTTGTAATTTGATGCATTGTGTTTATTCCGCGAGAGATTGATTACTTACGAATGTTTGACATGGCGTTCATTGTTAATTTGTGAACTGAATTGAATTGATTAATGAATGGCTCAGATCGATCAACAAGCAGCGGAGTCGCTTGGTAAGGGTGAAAACCCTCGATCTGATGATCCGAAAATCGACAAGCCAAGTAAAAGCAGTGGCAGTGTGTCTTTAAAGGATCAATTGAAGAAAAAAAGGCAAGAAAATGAAGATTATAGAGGTAAATTACAGAGTGATCCTAGTAAATTCAAAACTCTTAGTAGAAACAATCCAGTTCCAGTTAGTAATCCTACGCCTAGTCCCAGTCCTATTCCAAATCCAAATCCAAATCCAAAACCTACGTCTTCTCTCACTGATAGTGACTGGACTCAGCTGCTTAGTACGCCTGATAAGCCTGCGAGTCTGGCGAATCGTAGGAAATTGGGGGGTTTGGGCAATAGGAGTCAGAAGGGTATCAATAGTAGGGCGAGTAGTGGTGGAAGGTTGGATGTTGTTTTGGGAAGTAAAGTAAATGGTGCGAAATTGCTGAGTGATGGGGATGAGTCGGCTTCCTCGGGGAGGTCTTCAAATGTTGAAATGCAAAAGGATGGGAAGAATTTAAGAGGAAGAGATGTGAAAGTACAGGATGGGGGAAGTGGAGAGAATGGTGAGGTTAAGAAGAGTCATCAGTTGGAGTTGGTGTCAGCATTGGGGAAGGTTGATGCTTTGTCTGATGTGAAGATTGGTTCAGATGATGTAAGTGATCGGTTGAGTAGTAGTAATATTAGAGGGAATTATGAGTCTAGCGTAGGATCTAGAACTTCTGTATCAGATGATTTGAAGAGAGTTTCTTCTTCTTTAAGAGATAATAGGTCTGATTCAGATTTGGATTCAAGGTCTGATTCTGGGTCGTCTTCTGGGTCTGAAAGTGAACATGAGAGGGAAGAAAGGAGGAAGCGGAGGGAGAAGATTTTGGCTGAGAAAGCAGCAGCTAAAGCTGTGGAGGCCATTAAGGAGCGTGAAAATATGGTTGCTAGATTGGAGGGAGAGAAGCAGAGCTTAGAGAAAATACTTGAAGAACGAGCAAAACAACAAGCAAAAGAGGTAATGTCGTTTAGTTCTTTGTTATTATTCTTATGAGGTGGATCAAGGTACTGTTTTGCTCTGATGAAAATAAGAAATTGATATCTTGTTTGTCATGTATCATGGAAATGGGTTTGAAATACGATATATTTAGTTTTTATAATTATCATGGAAATGAGGTTGTGCTCTACATATATACTTAAACTCTTTCTGACTTTTCCATTTGACCCAAACTTGGGAGTACCTGGCTTTTCTGAATTTCAAAAAATGTATCTTTGATTCTCTGGCATTATTAGTATAGTTAATATTATTTTCCTACTTGCTTCAGGCTTCAGAGCTGCAGTCAACTACGATGGAGACCATGGAGGCTGTTGAGTTAGAAAAACAGAGACATAATAATACTAGGATGGAAGTCCTGGCACGCTTGGCTAAACTTGAGGTACTCCAAAATTACCCATTATTTAGACATGTTTATCAACTTTTTGTCTTTCTGTTATGTTTGGCACTAAATGCTTTCTTGTTGAAGTTCTTGCGATGTGGTGTATTGGGGGTTAATTCTGTGTGTCTCTAAAGATAAATGGTGATTGCAGACTGCAAATGCTGATCTTGCAAGATCCCTTGCTACTGCACAGAAGAAACTTGAAGTAGAGGTATGCTGCAATTCTAGTTTACATGGCTAGGTTGACCTATCCACCACCTTCTTAATTCTGTTATCCATTCCTTCAAATATTGTCTTCTTGGACCTATTTTTTTTTTTTTTTTTCTGATTTCTACTATACATCGATGTAATGCCTAAGTGTCAATTAATCACCTATGTTTCCATGCTTTAACTTATGCGATTTTATTTACATGCATGAGCTTTTGTTGGCCAGACTGATCAGGTGGCAGAACTCAGGCAACAAATTGAGTTGAAAGAAGTGGCTCGTGAAGGTATGAACCCCCAAATGATAGTAATGCAGTACAATCAATTTCCATAGTTATCAAAATGCTGTGTTTGACATGCTGATGACTTTTTTTGGGAGTCAATTAGTTAAGTGCTCTATGAGAACAAAGACTATCCGTCCAAGCAAACTTGATTTTATTCATATTTAGTTCACATTTAGTTCACCTCAGGATAATGAAAGTAGTCTACGCAAGTAACAGGATGGTTGGACTCCAGGCTACTTATGGTCTTGCGGTTTATGAAATGGAGATGGCATTTGATTAGGCTGTGTTCCAAACCGAATTTTGTTACTGGCGTCCAAAATAAATAAATAAATAGCACGAACTGCTTAGAGATCTGGAACTCTAGATTTGGTGTACAGGAAGATGGATGTAAGAGGGTGAAAGTATATAGATACTGGACTTTAGGAAATAGGACTGCTGAAACCTCTTACTGGATGATTTTTTTGGTTGATAAAAAGCAAAACTTGATTAATTTAGAATGGGGTAATGGGAATAAACATTAGTTATTCGGTATCTTGCCAGCTTTGTCCTGTTGCTGACAGTATACAATGGTGTTTTATGGACCTAATGTGGAAGTTTCTGATATATTTTTCCCAAAGCAGCTCTCCGAGAGCTGTTTTTTTCCATATTCTATGAAAAATTGAAAATAATAGGAACTTGAACCATAAAAGCTGAGGTGTTGTGGTATGCTAGACTTTAGTCCCACATTCATGGTGTTAATTTTATTTTTGCCTTATTGATAGCCTCAAATATGGATCCTTGAAACACCTTTTCTTTGTTGCAGAACTCAGTAGGAGTATCTCCCATACTCACCAGACTGGAACTTACCTCAGCCAAGTGAGTTATATTTGTCTGTGTTCATATTAGTTGCAGAGGCTGTGCCTTTTCTCTTCCCCTTCTTTTTCTTTCTTTACTTTTACACTACTCTTTCGTCCAAGTATTCTTGACCATTTTGTGATAGTCTTTTGATCTTACATAAAAATATAGTCAGCAGCTTCAAAAGGAGTTGAATTTGAACGAGAAATACTTGAGGCAGAGTACTCATTCATAACTGATAAAATCGTACAATTGCAAGATAAGGTTAGCTTTCATGTTTTCAAGATCTATCATATTCAGCTATTACTCATTTTCCAAATTGATAATATTAGAATGGACTGCACTGCATATACAAGTTTTTGCTTAATGCCGATTGTTTATTATTATTATTATTATTATTTTTTTTTTTTTTTTTGTTATGCAATTATAATATTATAATAAACAGTGCATGGTTCAAGCTAGAATTGGATTCAATTACTGCTTTTAATGTCCTTGCTATGAATGAGTAATGAATCCATATCAAATTATATAATTCCAGTGTATTGGCTCTTTTTTATGAATGCTCAGACTAACCTATACAAATGCCATTTTTTGCTTTGTGACCTTGAGTGCACTGACATGACAGGATAATGGTACAATTGCAAGGAACCACTTTTTTGTATCTGGCCGTAGGTTATCATTTCTTTGACACCCCCTTCCCCTAGTCCAATTATAGACTGAAAATGTTCAAGTTTTACCAGGCTGTAATTTATACTGGCATTGAGATTATGTCAAGTGTTTACTCATGTTAAGATAGTATTCTTGTTATATTTATTAATATGATTTGTTTGGGTATTATTGATTTTCCTTCAATCTGTTGGTAACATTTTAGGCTAAGAAGCTGGAAGAAGACATAGAAATAACAAGGAAGGAGATAGAGGATCCAACAGAAGTAGAAATTGAGCTGAAGAGGAGGCTTGGTCAGCTGACTGACCATTTAATTCAGAAACAAGCCCAGGTATTTGCTTAAGAAATCTTATTACTTCAATGACACCACAAATTCTAGTGATAGGAATGCTTGGTATTTGTATGGTTAGATGGAATGAAAGACATCTTTCTTTATTTCAGTGAAGACTGAAATGTCCTGTGAATATTCACTTATGTATGAAACGCAGAAGAATTAAAAACTTTGTTCTTACAAGGGTTATCCTAGCTTATGTATTGTTCAGTTTTTATGCCTTTTCATCTTTTAGCTCAGAAGAGATTAGGAGTTTTGAAAATAAACTATAGCTTCAACTTTTATGCTTTCGAGTCCTTGCCCAAAACAAATTTATAATCCGTTTAATTCCCACTGCCTAGCTTTGTCAAAGAGTAACATATGGATCTTTATTGTATCAAGGAAAGAGCAAGGATTTTTCTATTTCCTTTATTCTATTAGACTTTGATGATTGAAACTTTTTACTAATTGAGGACTTGCTGGCCGTTGATTGATAGAATATCATGTCCTAACATTTTCAATTATGCTCATTTAATCAGGTTGAGGCTCTGTCCTCAGAAAAGGCGACTATATTGTTCAGAATGGAGGTAAATATTCAAATCAGAACAATCATACATGCATTTTCTTCTTAAACAAAACTGGTGGTTTTCAATTTATGTGCCAATCCATTCTACAGGCAGTTTCAAGGTTGCTAGAAGAAAATAAGTCAATGAGCAGTAGCTCATCAAGAGATTTGGAATCTGGAGCATGGGAGCTCTCCCAGTCAAAGTTGGGGCCTCTTTTCGAAGACAAGATCCGTTCGGGGAGGAGGCATATAGGATCACTGGTTCTGCAGTTGGATTCAATTTTTTTGGCCGGTATGGTGTTTCTGAGGCGAAATCCAACCGCAAAATTATGGTCTTTGGTTTACCTTGTATGCCTTCACTTTTGGGTCGTTTACATTCTAATGTCACATTCAAACTCATCAAATGAGGCCAGATCGGGCGCTGTCTTTTCCTTGGAGAATATCAATAACACTACAGCTTTATAATATTTGTTTTTCATTTCTTTTGCCTCACTTTTAAGAGGTTCTTTTTGCTGGGGCGTAGTTTGTTCAGTTTTTTCCCCCTTAACATGTAAAAAACATTGAATCAGTAGGCATGTAATTTCTTTTCCATATCAATACAATATACTGAGATTACAACTTTTCATTTTCGACTTAATCGAATGGTCGGGCCAACACTTTCCTCTAATCTTGATCTCGGGTTTGCAAAGCAAGTTATGGAATTTTAGAGTTAATGTCTAATTTTGAACTCGGATTTGCAAATCGACTGACTAAAGCATTTGATGGATATATGTTATGCAAAGGTTCCAAGGAAGATTGAATCCTTAACCAGATGTTAGTCTGGGAAATTACTCGAAAATTATTACAACTGTAAACAAAATATAAATGAACAATGAACAAAGAAGAATCATTGTAGTTATAGCTAACACTTGTTTGTTCCAGAAAGAAATACAAAGCATAGCAGAGACAAAGAATAAACAAATACTAACCCATCTTCAATCCTTGACTTCTTTCTCCTTTGTTTGTTCTATACCTTGCACAAATATTATAGGTGGCTTTAGAAAAATGTAAATGGAACCATCAATATAAAAAAATTACATTGTCATTACAGAAATCCAGAAATGGAACCATCAATAAGGATATTCGGAGAAAACAGACGTATGTCTACTTAAGAACATAAAATTACGACGGTACAATGTTATTCTGTCTGTTCAAATTTATAAGCTCCATTCAAAGCATGCAATTTGTAAAATATACGTTAGCAACAGCAGTTCCGGTAATATGGCAGGCAAAGCATAAATGATGAACTATGAGAACCTGGCATGGCAACATGAATTCACAATTACTACCATAGTTCGAGAACTCCCAACAAAGATGATTAATTTTTTTTTTAACCGTACAAAGATATTCCTCAACAAGCAAGAAACTAGTATATCGAGAATCAGCCTATAGAAGCACTAGCAAAAATCAAATTTAATGAATCAGATTAATGTCCCCTACTGTTTCTGAGCAAACGCAGGTCACAGGACATATCAGTTAGGATACATTAGGTAGGTTGGCTTCACAAAAGAAGTGACCTAACCATATATGCCCAAGAATTAAAGAAAAAAAAGGATCAATCTCATGTAACAAATTAAGCACTGCAGACAAATATAGGGTGACAAAGAGATGATGTAAAGAGATAGGAAAAGAGTTACTCAAACGGAGTTCTCCGAAATCTTATGGAGCAGAAGCATACTGAATTTTACCAGTATGTGAAAATTTTGGACTAATAACAGAGAATAGGATTTGATTCTTAGCTGTTAACTTTTCTGCTTGACAGTTTCAGTTTGATGTTTGCTTGGGGAGGATAGTATGACAAACACCTGGAGGCGGGTATTGTTTCTTTGGCTTTTTAAATACAACTTTACATGCCCAAAAATCCAAAATATTGCAATATTGATTATTTTTTCATTTCGACCTTCTCATAGTTTCACAATAAATACTACATGTTCGCCCATTGGAAAATGTTATAAGCCAAGAAGAATGATTCTAAACAATACGCACAACTGACATTCCTTAATTCCCAATAGAACCATGAACAAAAATAATTGCACATGTATCAGTTTACTTCTGATTAAGAGTTAATATTATCAAAAGTAAGATTATTCTCAAGACATTGAAGTCTTACCAGTTTGGCTGCTCTTGTGGAAGATTGCGGCTGTATAAAGGAAATTCAAAGAGAAAAGTTGCCTTGAACCATGAAGGCAAGCGCCTGTATGCTATTGGAGGCAATGGAATAAGAGGGCTGAAACAGAATATGCATTCGCCAATGCAAGAACACCACATGTTAGGTTTAGTTACTTCCTCGTCCAATATAAATAGAACATAAACAGAAGGTGAAAACATTAACCTAACCTTGTTGTCTTCTTATAAACTCTGTATGCAGCCACATTTCCATACTTCTTGTCTGCTGATTCCTGCATCGGTTCAAGTATTATATTATTAGCATATTGTCACATGGCAATGAATTGAATTCTGTAAAAATAAAATGTATGGCAGGAAAGCAAACCTCAAGCAATGGTATGCCACTGACAAAAAGAAGCAACAATGTGAGAAAGATAGGCCCAAGGATTACTAGCCACTCGGCACCTTCCAGTACAGGTGTGGAAGCAATGAAAATTCCCCACCATAGGAAAATCTGAGCACAATATTTATGGGTAGAATTAAAATCACGATAACGAGGTAACAGAGTAGCTTGATGAATTATGCATTCTTAAGGTTAGAAAGCCAGTAAGGTATACTTTTTGAATACATAAAATTCATTATTTAGTCAAATTCATAGATGCAAAGAAAAAGATTTAATCATTTCCTCACTGTAAAAAGCTACGAAGCCCTTTATACTTTTTGAATACATGAAATTTATTATTTAGACAAATTCATAGATGCAAAGAAAAAAATTTAATCATTTCCTTACTGTAAAAAACTACGAAGCCCTTTATGTGGAAATCTCAATTCTCTTGTTCCACATGTCAAGTAGTAGCATAAACAGAGACCCTATTTATATTCTAGATTCTCCATAACAAGTGACCCAGACTAGCATACTTTTCAACTTTTTCAGCCGAAAGACATCCAGATAGCACAAATTATGAAGGTTAAATCTAATTATATTAACGCAGTGAACAACAGGAAGGCATACGAATATAGCAACAAAATCTGATTTTAATAATGCAAACAGTAACAGGTTGAAGAGATGCTATTAATATTATTAACTATAAATGATGCTGCTAGATAAAAATGACGTCTTTTAGCAAGTCAATGAACAATAGATAGCCTTTCAGCTGAAAGGCTTCCAGTTATTACAAGCTGCAAAAATATACAGGTGCTTCGAAGCATGTACAGAAATATAGCCCAAAAATGAATAATGATGAAGTCGGAGCTCAATGATGTAACCAGTAAACATTTAGAAAAAAGTATAAGAAACAATCAATTAAGTAAATGAAACTTCATAAATTTGTCTAGGATTTGTACTACTTCATTGACTATAACAAAGATTGTATGCACCACCAAATCCAAAAATAGTTTCATTTGATAGAAAGACAGAACCGACCTCGCCAAAATAGTTTGGATGACGAGAATAATTCCAAACTCCAACATTACACCACTTCCCTCTGTTTTCTGGAGAATTTTTGAAAGCTAGTTTTTGCTGATCAGCTGAAGCTTCAATGGAAGCACCCACAGACCACATAATCCACCCGATTATATCCACTGCCTGAAGAGATGGATCTCTATCACTTGCATTGACCACGGTTAAAGGTAAACTCACAGTCCACACCCACACAGCCTGCAGTGTATACATAAACTTGTGTATATTATATGTGAAATTGTAAATGAGCTTTAGCTGACTCATTAGTGAATATAGCAAGCAATATGATACCTGAAATATCCAGAAAATTGCCAATTTTCCCAAATTACCACGCATTTCATCAAAGCGTCGATCCTCACCCCACTGCAGAATTCTGCAGAACGCTCTATAGTTAAAATCATAAACGAAACAATCAAAGTGGTAATACTATAAAAAATGATTCCTTTTGATTTAAAACCTTGAGGTAATGCTGCCAGAGTCAGAATCAATAGATTAAGATCTAATTAACTTGCATAGGTAAACAACAAACCTTAGTGCCATATATATCCGAAAGTATCAGTGATGCATAATATAAAAAAAGAAAATCCCACAAAGTTAAAGGATTTGCTAACGCAATGCTATAATACCTCATTAATAGAAAGAGACCTAGACGAAGACCCCATACCACTACCAGCAATGTCAAGACTACCTGCAAAAAACGAAAGAAATTTTTTATCTCGGGACAATTGAACAGGGTTTACTTAGAAAGGATTAAATAAATAAACTTATAGTAGAACTAAATCGAACAAGACTTGTATAACTTCTGCCGTAACGAAAAATATCAAAACTGATATATTATGAATCACTGATAAAATCATGAAAAGTATCTCATTCTTCTCCATCCTTATCAAAGAGTTTACTTATGCAAACTAAAGGAAGTTTTTTTAATTGAAAATCAATTAAATTCATGCTGCTTTTCATCAAAAAAAAAGAACATCATTTCTTTCATGAACTAATGACAATAAAGAGAGTAAATTCACCTGTCTAAAATGATAAGTCCCTTTAAGAACCAAAGTCAACACAGCTATTATAATAAAATTCGTGCTTCCTAAAACAGAAAAACAAAAACAACAAAATTAACAACAGAATCCTGCTATTTCTCAGCAACAAAAGAACCCCAATTAAGCACCTAAGTTTCTTACTAGAACAAGTAAAGAAAGAGTGATGATACCCACCAGCAAAGTCAGTGACTTTATCAAACTTGAGAAGAGCAGTGATCACAAAGAACAACAACTGGTAACCCACCTGCAAAAACACACAACAACAAAAAAAAAAAACTTTACACTTGGAACCTCAAATTCTGAAGAGAAAGAGGGTGAAAGCGAACAAATTTAATAGTACAGTGACAATGGCTGTGAGAGCCAAGAAATGGGAGTCCAAAACGGTTCCCATTCAAGCTGATTATGCTTCGTTTTTTGTGGTCCTAACATTTTCAATTATGCTCATTTAATCAGGTTGAGGCTCTGTCCTCAGAAAAGGCGACTATATTGTTCAGAATGGAGGTAAATATTCAAATCAGACAATCATACATGCATTTTCTTCTTAAACAAAACTGGTGGTTTTCAATTTATGTGCCAATCCTTCTACAGGCAGTTTCAAGGTTGCTAGAAGAAAATAAGTCAATGAGCAGTAGCTCATCAAGAGATTTGGAATCTGGAGCATGGGAGCTCTCCCAGTCAAAGTTGGGGCCTCTTTTCGAAGACAAAATCCGTTCAGGGAGGAGGCATATAGGATCACTGGTTCTGCAGTTGGATTCAATTTTTTTGGCCGGTATGGTTTCTGAGGCGAAATCCAACCGCAAAAATATGGTCTTTGGTTTACCTTGTATGCCTTCACTTTTGGGTCGTTTACATTCTAATGTCACATTCAAACACATCAAATGAGGCCAGATCGGGCGCTGTCTTTTCCTTGGAGAATATCAATAACACTACAGCTTTATAATATGTGTTTTCATTTCTTGCCTCACTTTTAAGAGGTTCTTTTTGGGGCGTAGTTTGTTCATTTTTTCCCCCTTAACATGTAAAAAACATTGAATCAGTAGGCATGTAATTCTTTTCCATATCAATACAATATACTGAGATTACAACTTTTCATTTTCGACTTAATCGAATGGTCGGGCCAAAACTTTCCTCTAATCTTGATCTCGGGTTTGCAAAGCAAGTTATGGAATTTTAGAGTTAATGTCTAATTTGAACTCGGATTGCAAATCGACTGACTAAAGCATTTGATGGATATATGTTATGCAAAGGTTCCAAGGAAGATTGAATCCTTAACCAGATGTTAGTCTGGGAAATTACTCGAAAATTATTACACTGTAAACAAAAATATAAATGAACAATGAACAAAGAAGAATCATTGTAGTTATAGCTAACACTTGTTTCCAGAAAGAAATACAAAGCATAGCAGAGACAAAGAATAAACAAAGTACTAACCCATCTTCAATCCTTGACTTCTTTTCCTTTGTTTGTTCATACCTTGCACAAATATTATAGGTGGCTTTAGAAAAATGTAAATGGAACCATCAATATAAAAAAATTACTGTCATTACAGAAATCCAGAAATGAAAACATCAATAAGGAAATTCAGAGAAAACAGATGTATGATCTACTTAAGAACATAAAATTACGACGGTACAATGTTATTCTGTCTGTTCAAATTTATAAGCTCCATTCAAAGCATGCAATTTGTAAAATATAGTTAGCAACAGCAGTTCCGGTAATGGCAGGCAAAGCATAAATGATGAACTATGGAAACCTGGCATGGCAACATGAATCCACATTACTACCATAGTTCGAGAACTCCCACAAAGATGATTAATTTTTTTTTAACGTACAAAGATATTCCTCAACAAGCAAGAAATAGTAATCGAGAATCAGCCTATTAGAAGCACTAGCAAAAATCAAATTAATGAATCAGTTAATGTCCCTACTGTTTCTGAGCAAACGCAGGTCACAGGACATATCAGTTAGGATACATTAGGTAGATGGCTTCACAAAAGAAGTGACCTAACCATATATGCCCAAGAAATAAAGAAAAAAAAGGATCAATCTCATGTAACAAATTAAGCACTGCAGACAAATATAGGGTGACAAAGAGATGATGTAAAGAGATAGGAAAAGAGTTACTCAAACGGAGTTCTCCGAAATCTTATGGAGCAGAAGGTACTGAATTTTACCAATATGTGAAAATTTTGGACTAATAACAGAGAATAGGATTTGATTCTTAGCTGTTAACCTTTCTGCTTGACAGTTTCAGTTTGATGTTGTTTGGGGAGGATAGTATTACGAACACCTGGAGGCGGGTATTGTTTCTTTGGCTTTTTAAATACAACTTTACATGCCCAAAAATCCAAAATATTGCAATATTGATTATTTTTTCATTACGACCTTCTCACAGTTCACAATAAATACTAAATGTTTGGCCATGGAAAATGTTATAGCCAAGAAGAATGATTCTAAACAATACGCACAACTGACATTCCTTAATTTCCAATAGAACCATGAACAAAAATAATGCACATGTATCAGTTTACTTCTGATTAAGAGTTAATATTATCAAAAGTAAGATTATTTCAAGACATTGAAGTCTTACCAGTTGGCTGCTCTGTGGAAGATTGCGGCTGTATAAAGGAATTCAAAGAGAAAATTGCCTTGAACCATGAAGGCAAGCGCCTGTATGCTATTGGAGGCAATGGAATAAGGGGCTGAAACAGAATATGCATTTGCCCATGCAAGAACACCACATGTTAGGTTTAGTTACTTCCTCGTCCAATATAAATAGAACATAAAAGAAGGTGAAAAAATTAACCTAACCTTGTTGTCTTCTTATAAACTCTGTATGCAGCCACATTGCCATACTTCTTGCTGCTGATTCCTGCATCGGTTCAAGTATTATATATTAGCATATGTCACATGGCAATGAATTGAATTCTGTAAAAATAAAATTTATAGCAGGAAAGCAAACCTCAAGCAATGGTATGCCACTGACAAAAAGAAGCAACAATGTGAGAAAGATAGGCCAAGGGCTTATCTTTTTTTTTTTTTTTTTCTGATTTCTACTATACATCGATGTAATGCCTAAGTGTCAATTAATCACCTATGTTTCCATGCTTTAACTTATGCGATTTTATTTACATGCATGAGCTTTTGTTGGCCAGACTGATCAGGTGGCAGAACTCAGGCAACAAATTGAGTTGAAAGAAGTGGCTCGTGAAGGTATGAACCCCCAAATGATAGTAATGCAGTACAATCAATTTCCATAGTTATCAAAATGCTGTGTTTGACATGCTGATGACTTTTTTTGGGAGTCAATTAGTTAAGTGCTCTATGAGAACAAAGACTATCCGTCCAAGCAAACTTGATTTTATTCATATTTAGTTCACATTTAGTTCACCTCAGGATAATGAAAGTAGTCTACGCAAGTAACAGGATGGTTGGACTCCAGGCTACTTATGGTCTTGCGGTTTATGAAATGGAGATGGCATTTGATTAGGCTGTGTTCCAAACCGAATTTTGTTACTGGCGTCCAAAATAAATAAATAAATAGCACGAACTGCTTAGAGATCTGGAACTCTAGATTTGGTGTACAGGAAGATGGATGTAAGAGGGTGAAAGTATATAGATACTGGACTTTAGGAAATAGGACTGCTGAAACCTCTTACTGGATGATTTTTTTGGTTGATAAAAAGCAAAACTTGATTAATTTAGAATGGGGTAATGGGAATAAACATTAGTTATTCGGTATCTTGCCAGCTTTGTCCTGTTGCTGACAGTATACAATGGTGTTTTATGGACCTAATGTGGAAGTTTCTGATATATTTTTCCCAAAGCAGCTCTCCGAGAGCTGTTTTTTTCCATATTCTATGAAAAATTGAAAATAATAGGAACTTGAACCATAAAAGCTGAGGTGTTGTGGTATGCTAGACTTTAGTCCCACATTCATGGTGTTAATTTTATTTTTGCCTTATTGATAGCCTCAAATATGGATCCTTGAAACACCTTTTCTTTGTTGCAGAACTCAGTAGGAGTATCTCCCATACTCACCAGACTGGAACTTACCTCAGCCAAGTGAGTTATATTTGTCTGTGTTCATATTAGTTGCAGAGGCTGTGCCTTTTCTCTTCCCCTTCTTTTTCTTTCTTTACTTTTACACTACTCTTTCGTCCAAGTATTCTTGACCATTTTGTGATAGTCTTTTGATCTTACATAAAAATATAGTCAGCAGCTTCAAAAGGAGTTGAATTTGAACGAGAAATACTTGAGGCAGAGTACTCATTCATAACTGATAAAATCGTACAATTGCAAGATAAGGTTAGCTTTCATGTTTTCAAGATCTATCATATTCAGCTATTACTCATTTTCCAAATTGATAATATTAGAATGGACTGCACTGCATATACAAGTTTTTGCTTAATGCCGATTGTTTATTATTATTATTATTATTATTTTTTTTTTTTTTTTTGTTATGCAATTATAATATTATAATAAACAGTGCATGGTTCAAGCTAGAATTGGATTCAATTACTGCTTTTAATGTCCTTGCTATGAATGAGTAATGAATCCATATCAAATTATATAATTCCAGTGTATTGGCTCTTTTTTATGAATGCTCAGACTAACCTATACAAATGCCATTTTTTGCTTTGTGACCTTGAGTGCACTGACATGACAGGATAATGGTACAATTGCAAGGAACCACTTTTTTGTATCTGGCCGTAGGTTATCATTTCTTTGACACCCCCTTCCCCTAGTCCAATTATAGACTGAAAATGTTCAAGTTTTACCAGGCTGTAATTTATACTGGCATTGAGATTATGTCAAGTGTTTACTCATGTTAAGATAGTATTCTTGTTATATTTATTAATATGATTTGTTTGGGTATTATTGATTTTCCTTCAATCTGTTGGTAACATTTTAGGCTAAGAAGCTGGAAGAAGACATAGAAATAACAAGGAAGGAGATAGAGGATCCAACAGAAGTAGAAATTGAGCTGAAGAGGAGGCTTGGTCAGCTGACTGACCATTTAATTCAGAAACAAGCCCAGGTATTTGCTTAAGAAATCTTATTACTTCAATGACACCACAAATTCTAGTGATAGGAATGCTTGGTATTTGTATGGTTAGATGGAATGAAAGACATCTTTCTTTATTTCAGTGAAGACTGAAATGTCCTGTGAATATTCACTTATGTATGAAACGCAGAAGAATTAAAAACTTTGTTCTTACAAGGGTTATCCTAGCTTATGTATTGTTCAGTTTTTATGCCTTTTCATCTTTTAGCTCAGAAGAGATTAGGAGTTTTGAAAATAAACTATAGCTTCAACTTTTATGCTTTCGAGTCCTTGCCCAAAACAAATTTATAATCCGTTTAATTCCCACTGCCTAGCTTTGTCAAAGAGTAACATATGGATCTTTATTGTATCAAGGAAAGAGCAAGGATTTTTCTATTTCCTTTATTCTATTAGACTTTGATGATTGAAACTTTTTACTAATTGAGGACTTGCTGGCCGTTGATTGATAGAATATCATGTCCTAACATTTTCAATTATGCTCATTTAATCAGGTTGAGGCTCTGTCCTCAGAAAAGGCGACTATATTGTTCAGAATGGAGGTAAATATTCAAATCAGAACAATCATACATGCATTTTCTTCTTAAACAAAACTGGTGGTTTTCAATTTATGTGCCAATCCATTCTACAGGCAGTTTCAAGGTTGCTAGAAGAAAATAAGTCAATGAGCAGTAGCTCATCAAGAGATTTGGAATCTGGAGCATGGGAGCTCTCCCAGTCAAAGTTGGGGCCTCTTTTCGAAGACAAGATCCGTTCGGGGAGGAGGCATATAGGATCACTGGTTCTGCAGTTGGATTCAATTTTTTTGGCCGGTATGGTGTTTCTGAGGCGAAATCCAACCGCAAAATTATGGTCTTTGGTTTACCTTGTATGCCTTCACTTTTGGGTCGTTTACATTCTAATGTCACATTCAAACTCATCAAATGAGGCCAGATCGGGCGCTGTCTTTTCCTTGGAGAATATCAATAACACTACAGCTTTATAATATTTGTTTTTCATTTCTTTTGCCTCACTTTTAAGAGGTTCTTTTTGCTGGGGCGTAGTTTGTTCAGTTTTTTCCCCCTTAACATGTAAAAAACATTGAATCAGTAGGCATGTAATTTCTTTTCCATATCAATACAATATACTGAGATTACAACTTTTCATTTTCGACTTAATCGAATGGTCGGGCCAACACTTTCCTCTAATCTTGATCTCGGGTTTGCAAAGCAAGTTATGGAATTTTAGAGTTAATGTCTAATTTTGAACTCGGATTTGCAAATCGACTGACTAAAGCATTTGATGGATATATGTTATGCAAAGGTTCCAAGGAAGATTGAATCCTTAACCAGATGTTAGTCTGGGAAATTACTCGAAAATTATTACAACTGTAAACAAAATATAAATGAACAATGAACAAAGAAGAATCATTGTAGTTATAGCTAACACTTGTTTGTTCCAGAAAGAAATACAAAGCATAGCAGAGACAAAGAATAAACAAATACTAACCCATCTTCAATCCTTGACTTCTTTCTCCTTTGTTTGTTCTATACCTTGCACAAATATTATAGGTGGCTTTAGAAAAATGTAAATGGAACCATCAATATAAAAAAATTACATTGTCATTACAGAAATCCAGAAATGGAACCATCAATAAGGATATTCGGAGAAAACAGACGTATGTCTACTTAAGAACATAAAATTACGACGGTACAATGTTATTCTGTCTGTTCAAATTTATAAGCTCCATTCAAAGCATGCAATTTGTAAAATATACGTTAGCAACAGCAGTTCCGGTAATATGGCAGGCAAAGCATAAATGATGAACTATGAGAACCTGGCATGGCAACATGAATTCACAATTACTACCATAGTTCGAGAACTCCCAACAAAGATGATTAATTTTTTTTTTAACCGTACAAAGATATTCCTCAACAAGCAAGAAACTAGTATATCGAGAATCAGCCTATAGAAGCACTAGCAAAAATCAAATTTAATGAATCAGATTAATGTCCCCTACTGTTTCTGAGCAAACGCAGGTCACAGGACATATCAGTTAGGATACATTAGGTAGGTTGGCTTCACAAAAGAAGTGACCTAACCATATATGCCCAAGAATTAAAGAAAAAAAAGGATCAATCTCATGTAACAAATTAAGCACTGCAGACAAATATAGGGTGACAAAGAGATGATGTAAAGAGATAGGAAAAGAGTTACTCAAACGGAGTTCTCCGAAATCTTATGGAGCAGAAGCATACTGAATTTTACCAGTATGTGAAAATTTTGGACTAATAACAGAGAATAGGATTTGATTCTTAGCTGTTAACTTTTCTGCTTGACAGTTTCAGTTTGATGTTTGCTTGGGGAGGATAGTATGACAAACACCTGGAGGCGGGTATTGTTTCTTTGGCTTTTTAAATACAACTTTACATGCCCAAAAATCCAAAATATTGCAATATTGATTATTTTTTCATTTCGACCTTCTCATAGTTTCACAATAAATACTACATGTTCGCCCATTGGAAAATGTTATAAGCCAAGAAGAATGATTCTAAACAATACGCACAACTGACATTCCTTAATTCCCAATAGAACCATGAACAAAAATAATTGCACATGTATCAGTTTACTTCTGATTAAGAGTTAATATTATCAAAAGTAAGATTATTCTCAAGACATTGAAGTCTTACCAGTTTGGCTGCTCTTGTGGAAGATTGCGGCTGTATAAAGGAAATTCAAAGAGAAAAGTTGCCTTGAACCATGAAGGCAAGCGCCTGTATGCTATTGGAGGCAATGGAATAAGAGGGCTGAAACAGAATATGCATTCGCCAATGCAAGAACACCACATGTTAGGTTTAGTTACTTCCTCGTCCAATATAAATAGAACATAAACAGAAGGTGAAAACATTAACCTAACCTTGTTGTCTTCTTATAAACTCTGTATGCAGCCACATTTCCATACTTCTTGTCTGCTGATTCCTGCATCGGTTCAAGTATTATATTATTAGCATATTGTCACATGGCAATGAATTGAATTCTGTAAAAATAAAATGTATGGCAGGAAAGCAAACCTCAAGCAATGGTATGCCACTGACAAAAAGAAGCAACAATGTGAGAAAGATAGGCCCAAGGATTACTAGCCACTCGGCACCTTCCAGTACAGGTGTGGAAGCAATGAAAATTCCCCACCATAGGAAAATCTGAGCACAATATTTATGGGTAGAATTAAAATCACGATAACGAGGTAACAGAGTAGCTTGATGAATTATGCATTCTTAAGGTTAGAAAGCCAGTAAGGTATACTTTTTGAATACATAAAATTCATTATTTAGTCAAATTCATAGATGCAAAGAAAAAGATTTAATCATTTCCTCACTGTAAAAAGCTACGAAGCCCTTTATACTTTTTGAATACATGAAATTTATTATTTAGACAAATTCATAGATGCAAAGAAAAAAATTTAATCATTTCCTTACTGTAAAAAACTACGAAGCCCTTTATGTGGAAATCTCAATTCTCTTGTTCCACATGTCAAGTAGTAGCATAAACAGAGACCCTATTTATATTCTAGATTCTCCATAACAAGTGACCCAGACTAGCATACTTTTCAACTTTTTCAGCCGAAAGACATCCAGATAGCACAAATTATGAAGGTTAAATCTAATTATATTAACGCAGTGAACAACAGGAAGGCATACGAATATAGCAACAAAATCTGATTTTAATAATGCAAACAGTAACAGGTTGAAGAGATGCTATTAATATTATTAACTATAAATGATGCTGCTAGATAAAAATGACGTCTTTTAGCAAGTCAATGAACAATAGATAGCCTTTCAGCTGAAAGGCTTCCAGTTATTACAAGCTGCAAAAATATACAGGTGCTTCGAAGCATGTACAGAAATATAGCCCAAAAATGAATAATGATGAAGTCGGAGCTCAATGATGTAACCAGTAAACATTTAGAAAAAAGTATAAGAAACAATCAATTAAGTAAATGAAACTTCATAAATTTGTCTAGGATTTGTACTACTTCATTGACTATAACAAAGATTGTATGCACCACCAAATCCAAAAATAGTTTCATTTGATAGAAAGACAGAACCGACCTCGCCAAAATAGTTTGGATGACGAGAATAATTCCAAACTCCAACATTACACCACTTCCCTCTGTTTTCTGGAGAATTTTTGAAAGCTAGTTTTTGCTGATCAGCTGAAGCTTCAATGGAAGCACCCACAGACCACATAATCCACCCGATTATATCCACTGCCTGAAGAGATGGATCTCTATCACTTGCATTGACCACGGTTAAAGGTAAACTCACAGTCCACACCCACACAGCCTGCAGTGTATACATAAACTTGTGTATATTATATGTGAAATTGTAAATGAGCTTTAGCTGACTCATTAGTGAATATAGCAAGCAATATGATACCTGAAATATCCAGAAAATTGCCAATTTTCCCAAATTACCACGCATTTCATCAAAGCGTCGATCCTCACCCCACTGCAGAATTCTGCAGAACGCTCTATAGTTAAAATCATAAACGAAACAATCAAAGTGGTAATACTATAAAAAATGATTCCTTTTGATTTAAAACCTTGAGGTAATGCTGCCAGAGTCAGAATCAATAGATTAAGATCTAATTAACTTGCATAGGTAAACAACAAACCTTAGTGCCATATATATCCGAAAGTATCAGTGATGCATAATATATAAAAAGAAAATCCCACAAAGTTAAAGGATTTGCTAACGCAATGCTATAATACCTCATTAATAGAAAGAGACCTAGACGAAGACCCCATACCACTACCAGCAATGTCAAGACTACCTGCAAAAAACGAAAGAAATTTTTTATCTCGGGACAATTGAACAGGGTTTACTTAGAAAGGATTAAATAAATAAACTTATAGTAGAACTAAATCGAACAAGACTTGTATAACTTCTGCCGTAACGAAAAATATCAAAACTGATATATTATGAATCACTGATAAAATCATGAAAAGTATCTCATTCTTCTCCATCCTTATCAAAGAGTTTACTTATGCAAACTAAAGGAAGTTTTTTTAATTGAAAATCAATTAAATTCATGCTGCTTTTCATCAAAAAAAAAGAACATCATTTCTTTCATGAACTAATGACAATAAAGAGAGTAAATTCACCTGTCTAAAATGATAAGTCCCTTTAAGAACCAAAGTCAACACAGCTATTATAATAAAATTCGTGCTTCCTAAAACAGAAAAACAAAAACAACAAAATTAACAACAGAATCCTGCTATTTCTCAGCAACAAAAGAACCCCAATTAAGCACCTAAGTTTCTTACTAGAACAAGTAAAGAAAGAGTGATGATACCCACCAGCAAAGTCAGTGACTTTATCAAACTTGAGAAGAGCAGTGATCACAAAGAACAACAACTGGTAACCCACCTGCAAAAACACACAACAACAAAAAAAAAAAACTTTACACTTGGAACCTCAAATTCTGAAGAGAAAGAGGGTGAAAGCGAACAAATTTAATAGTACAGTGACAATGGCTGTGAGAGCCAAGAAATGGGAGTCCAAAACGGTTCCCATTCAAGCTGATTATGCTTCGTTTTTTGTGCTTTATTACGATGTGTGTGTCTTTATATGAAGTGAAAGTATTGAAGAGTTTTAACTTGTCATAGGCTGTGTGGTGGATATTAAAACATACTCGTTAGCCTCTTTGTTGTACTTGGGTTGTTAGATAGACCCACTTTGAATGAATCCCAAGTTCCCAGCAGCTTCCAAGTGTTGAAATTTAATTCCCTTAACAGGACCGTTATTCTAAGGTTACAATACAGAGTCAGTACAGTTACCATACCGGAGTTTAACTTTACCCATATAAATCCTTGATCATAAGTTCAAAGGTTAATTAAATTGGACCACGATTCTAATGATTTAGATGAAGAGTAACGTTACCTTTATAATATAAAACTATATTTAAAAATATATGCCAATTTTATTCTTAATGGGAGAGAATTAGTGTATTGCATAGAAAAATGTTTACTTATTGTTTGAGTGGTAAATATTTACACCACTCAATCTGATTATAGAACTAGTAATAGATTGAAAACTTTTATCGTCAGAAGATTACATATTTTTCTGCATATATAGCCATAATTGATATAATCAAGTTCTGATATTATAAAAAAATCTGAGTTAATCAAGCACATGGGATTACATTTACTTGGTAATCAACTTTGTGTCCCTTCTGATACAAATTCATGACTCTCGAGAAGAACAGGTAAGAATCAGTAAAAATGTGACTGTACATATTCAAGCTGGTGCAATGGAGACTTTATCAACTTCAACTATGTACTCAAGAGTTGCAAATGGAGGAATTTGCATATCAGAACCCAAATCTGCACCCTGCTCTCCAAACCCTAAACTAGGAGGAATTATCACTCTCCTTTTCCCTCCTGCTTTCATTGATCTCAATACATATTCAACTCCCTCACACATTCCTTTACTATAAGGCCTTGAACCCATTACCAAGGCCAATGGCTTCCTCTTTTCACCATTAATTGTGTCAACAAATACTTTCCCAGTTTCTTCAACTTTCCCCTGCAAATCAATCACCACCAAGTCTCCTGTTCTTGGAGCAGCACCACCTCCAACTCTCAATTCATAGTATCTGTTTCAAATATTACAATGAGGAAGACTGTCATTTTCTGATACAAAGAAGCTACAAATCTCTAAACTCATCAGATTTTTACCTGATGCCATTAGGCAACACCACTTCCTCTTCCTTTTCAACATTTCTGCACAACATTTTAATCAAGACTACTCAGTAACTCAACCTGAAGCTACTTGGAAACCTTCAACAAACAAAGGAACAGTAAAATATGAAACCGGATAAGTTAGTTCACCTTGTATTGGCTGCTTCTTGAGAAACTTCAAGGCGGGTTTTTATCTGCTCAGAGATAACTCCAACAGCTAGAAAAGTTGCCCAAGCAAGGCCTGCACCAAGACCAAACCTCCTGGTTAAGGTTGAAGCTATCCAATCTGTAGTTTCAACAGTGGCAGGTTTTGCAGGCTTCTCTTGTTGTTTATTAACAGTAAGAGGTGTTGGTTGGTCAGGTGAGCTTGTGCTTAACTGTGAAGACGGAGTTGAAGTTTGTGGTTCTGATGGTGATTGTGAAGATGGACTTGGAGGAGGAGGAGTTGGAGATGAAGAAGCAAACTGGTGAGTTCTGGTAATTGGGTGAGAGAGAAATGGTGGGGATCCAAAGAAAGTTGCCATGTTTTCCTTTTTCTTCTTTTGAGAATGGATTAAAAAAAATATCTTGTTCAGTCCATTTTAGGGGTTTTTCTTCTCTAAAACCTTATCCTTGTAAGTGGTTGGATGTAAATCTTGTGTCCCTTCTATCTCTAGTTTTTTTATTTCAATTTTCTTGAGGTCTGTTTGGAAGCTGTGAAAAAGAATAATATAATACGAGTTAACGACTTTTTCCCACCCAAATAATGATTTAATGACACTTTTCCAATGTTTCGAAAACCGGACCAGATTATGACCCGGTCAAGGGTTCGGTTTCCGGTTTGACCAATTGGATCAGTCGGTTGGACCGTATTCTATAAAAAAAATTTAGTCCCTAAATGTTTGGAATTCATCAAAAACACCCTTATAATACTCCTTTAAAGTTTAAAATATGTCCAAAACACCCCTGTCACGTGAAGAGACTAGTGACTGGTGAGTGGTAACGGCAGCGAGGATCGACGGCCGATCGAAGTTTGGAATCATGGGGCTTTTGATGTATAGGTGTCGACGAATCTGATGGTGGTGTTAGGGAGTTCTATCGACGCCAGAAGTTGTCGGAATCAAGAAGGAAGTTCGACGGTCGCTTGAACTATAGGTGGACAGCGAGCGACGAAGGCTGGACGACGGCCATTGAAAATGGATGGGTTTTTTCGTAGAGATGTCGTCAAGTCTAATGGTGGTATTTTCTCCCTCGAATGATGTCGGAATCCGGTGGGATTGAGTTGCGATTGGATGGCGATTCGGCACTATTTCGACGGTCCAACCACGGCTCAATCCGGTTTGATTGAAAATATCGGTTTTCAGAGGATACCGAACTAAAGATGTCGCCAGCTCCTGATCGAATCGGATCGTCCAGTTTTCAGAACACTGCACTTTTCTACCCACGGACTTTTAAAATATCAGTTTACTACCAAATTTGCATTTCGACGACGAACAGAGAATAAACTCGATCCAAATTGTTAGGACTTTTGAAGAGAGTAGGTCAATGAGTCTTTTGATGGTGGAATATTGGATTTTGGTGGTTGAGATTGCCGGAATTTGACTTGGGAGGAACGGTTGTGCAAACCTTAATCACTCAATTGGCGGCGATTGACAGGGTTGTCAGGTGTAGGGTTTGAAGGGTTTTGGTGAGTGATGATCGAAAAAAAGAATGACTATGATCTAGAGTCATAATGATGTCGAAATCAAAAACAGAATATAAATTTGAATTGTAAAATTATATTTTAAAAATCCATTATTTGGGTGGGAAAAAATGGTTTACTCATATAATATTGATCGATAAGCGACAACCTTACCATACTAAAATCATTAGTTATCAAGATTCAATAATATGAGCTATTTCTCTTGTTTAACAAACCCGCAAGGATTTAGTCAAATAGTTAGACGGACCTGTGGCTTACTGTTCACCTCTGCATATGATTCCGGATTCAAGCCCCTACCAAAATGGGGTGAAAGATGAAGCATATCAACTTGCAGAGTTAGTCATTGGTATAAAAAATTCCCTGTACCTAAGTTGACATCTTAGTAAGATACTATCCAGTTTGAATTTCAATTCAAAATTGACCACTAGTTTGATTATTGCAGCAAAATGGTTTCCATTTTTTGTATGACTTTCTTCAGTTACGATCATATGACCTGAAGAACAACACATGGAACACAAAAACAAATGCAAAACATTGATTACAACAATTGCAATTGAACCTTTTTTTTACAAACAAATACACAAGATTGAGGAGGCTGCACCAATAAGAATACAAAAAGAGAAAAGGAAAATTGTTGAGAGAAAAGAAGGAAAGAATCACAATCATCTCAAGTGGAGTATATGTTTGGTTCATCATCTTCTATCAAATCCGTTATGTTTGTCTTATATCTGTTCCAACATTCCAGGACTTGCCAACATGTTTTGGCAGTCCGATGAGCCGAGATTCAGTCTGTTTGCAAACTTTGATCTTTTAGCCTGTTGAGTCGTCAATAAATCTCGCTGTCTGGTTCTGGCCCCTCTCTTGGCCACTACTTAATGGTGCAATTGGTCTAGGCACTTGTGAACTAGTTATAGGCTTCTGCAATGGCTTCAGAGCAGCCAAGATTTCTGCAAACGTTGGCCTCAATCTTGGATCTCTACAGGGTTAAAAAAAATAAGGTCAATTGTCAGTTGTCAATCAATATGGCCAATGATAATAACATCAAAAATTTCATTTTTACAATTAAATGTGAAGAAATAGCATCAACTTCAGAAAAGTATTTCCAGAGAAACAAGCAAAAATAATCTCTACAACTAAATGTTAAAAACTAGTGAATGGAGAAAATGATTATTCTACCATGAAAAAGAATGGAAGGCAAGGGGGGCAGGAAACGGAATGTTTATTCTTAGCTCAAATGAGACAGCCAACACATACACGATCAATGTTGCAAATATTCCGTCGAAAGAGTATCAGCATAGATTCTCCAAACACTTTAACAAGGCAATCACGTTTCATTACTCGAAGGGTGGCTTTCTTATGAGGCTAGAGAAAATCAATTCTAAGAAGGTAGCTTGATTTTTCAATTGTAGGATTGTCCAAGTACAAATATCATTAACACTTAAGGGTGAAAAAAGATGCATCACAGCAGGATTAATGAAAGTTCACAGAAGGCTGAAGGTTTTCAAATACAAGAAGCATAAGGAAACCAAATGGCAGAATAAATAAGTGGATCAGGAAAGCACATCTCATGAATTTGAAATCAACCGGCCACCCACCACACCATGAGAGCCTCCAGCAACACATTAAACCTTCAGTTAAATAACTAGAATAAGCATAGCTACCAGGGATTATTAATGCCTACTCCAGTTTAAGATAAATCACCAAACAGTACCCCGCACCAGATACAATATCAGAGTAGAAAACTAATTAGTAATCAAGCATGTTCAGAAGTGTCAGGTTGGAAGGCAACAACTTAAAATATACTCACGTCTGCCAGCACTTCCGAATTATATCTGCAATGGCTGGATTCATATTATTTGGAATGTCCAAACGGCGGTGTTGGAATCCTACTGCACCAACAACTTGCATTGGGTTCATTCCCCCCCATGGCTGTTGCATCGTAGATAGCTCCCATAATATGACCCCAAAACTATAAACATCACACCTGCATTCCATATTCATAAGATTATAACAGAGGAAGCACAGGAATGGTCCAATAATAATACTAAGTTCAATAAAGAAAAGGCATACTTTTCATCTGAAGGTTCATTTCTGAGCACTTCTGGAGCCATCCACTCAGCCTGAAAGTGCTACAAAATTAAATCACTAATCTGTAGCGGTAATGGTCAAATTATATCAAACAAAGTAACTAGATAATGATTAATCAATGGGGCAAAACATATTGCAAGTTACAGAATTGTGATTATCTTTTAGACTTATAAGAACTTGATGAAAAAGGAAGAGAAAGAAGACAAATTTTCAAAGGCCCACAAGGAAATCCAAAGAAAGACGGCAATGACAAATAAGAATATGAAACAAACATAAACAATAAAATTCATACAAAACAAAAGGCATATAAAATATAAATACACCTGCAGCTAGTTGTTTAGCACAGCTTACCGTTCCAGCAGTTGACCTTGAAGACAGAAATGTGCTGTTCTTCATCCGTGATAACCCAAAATCACATACCTAAATAACAGATGTAAATATGTAAAAGATGGAATTACAGACACAGATTCACATCATACTGGATTAGACATATAAGACACTTAAGTGTACAAAAGAGAGAAGTGATACCTTGACAACCCAATTTCTATCAACTAGAAGATTTGGAGACTTCAAATCACGATGTACAATTACTGGCGTGCAGTTGTGCAAGTAATTCATTCCCCGAGCCTGAAAATTAAATTATTTAAAAGGGAAAAGTTATTGCCATCTGAGCACCAAGTAAATCACATTTTGTAGGAAAGTTATGGAACGCAACATAAGAATAATAGAATCATACAGCATCCAGGGCCATCCTCAAGCGTCTCCGCTCATCTAATTGATTGTTAGGCCGATGAAGTAACCTATACAAACTACCTCTGCAAAACATAAATTCTTCTTTAGTTTTCAGATTGAACACAAACAATAAAGCCCCAATAAACTAATAATAGTTAAAGAAACACAAGCACTAAGAGCTCTATATGACTGACAAAAGTAAGGAAACAAAATGCCAAAGACTTGAGGAATAGTTGATACAGTTCAGTTCAGTTATGTAAACACTTTATCCAAAATTTATGTTACTAGGTGAATATCAAACATTAATATCCAAGTACCAAGTTCCCTCACATGTAACATAAATCAGACAGATATGCCAAGAGACAAGAATAGATAATAGATAGGTCAAACCAACCCAAGATATATAGAAAGATAAATATAAAAAAGCATATAAAGTAAATGTGAGGGATTCAAACTTAAGACCTTTAACTCTGATTCTAAGTAAGTAGTCACTTCACCCAAAAGGTTAAGGTATTAGATTAGGGTCCGACATTAATATTTAAGTTAAACAAAATTCTACTACTAAAACTATCCCTCAATCAACAAAATTTTATTTAAGATTTGTTAAATAAAGCACATTTACAAGAGCATCATTTCAAGTCATCTCATTTACTGATAACTCAGTTAAATAATTTGGACACTGCAAGATGACAAATGCTAGTGACATTGCTGCCACAAGAACTAATTTCTGATCGCAAGAAAACTAGTCAGTATAAACTAGTTACAGAAGCATTATAAACTTCCTACCAGCCATTAATAAAACTCTAATATAATGACTGCATAAAATTTAATATAAGATTACAACACAAATATGGAAAGAGATAAGGTGGACACATACCTAGGAAGAAATTCTGTAACAATTGAGAGATTTGGAACACGAGTTACAGCTCCCATGAAGAGAACAACATTCGGGTGCCTAAGCTTTCTCATGAGTAGGACCTTACATAACAAATCACAATTTGCGAAAATCAATAATGGTATACAATTTAAATTCACAGGACTTAACATTAAAGTGGTAGAAAGAGGCTGTTAATATGATTTAAGTATGCCATGAAAGAAGAATTAACATGATTTGGAAAAGAAATTGTCAATCTAACAGCCTTCCTTACCAGAAAAGATCAGCAACATCATACAAATACTATCGCCTTAGGAATTTAGTTCATTGAGCCAGTGAATAAATTGTAACAAGCCCAAGTCGCTTGAAGTCTAATAATATACTAACACTATACAATATTAGTTATCTATTCTTTCTCTTTTTTCACATTAATTTGAGGTATAGGCATAAAGCACGAGGCTAAGGAATCAACCAGATTTTAAGAGGCGCTCCATGTCTTTTGGGAAGTTGATCTAAGTATCCTTTTAAATGTAACACATACCATCAAAAGAAAAGAAAGTGAGCAGTTACAGCATATGAAACAACAATAACAAAGATAAATTGACCAGATTACATTAAAATTAATTTGCAAAGTGATGAATGACCCATCAGGATATAATCATTAACATGAGTTTTGAATCAGGCACAAGACAATAAGCAGATCACAAGGTTCAGGCATCTTTTGTGACATGTGTGAAAGAAGTATCTATTCAGATTTTGCTATAGATGGCATGAGATCAGTTGATGTCTAAGATAGCAAGAGAAGAGAGAACTTGTACCTCTTTTTTGAATTCTACAAGTGATTCACCAGAAATATCTTGGTCTAGGAACCTCTTCACCGCAACTTCCTATGAAATCAAAGAGCAGCAACAAGTTCAAAAAATGTACCTTCCAAGAACAAGGATTATCATACGTCAATTTGGAGGAAAAAACTCAGCATAGGTTTAAACATTTAATTTCTACCACACAAACCATCTCACGAGTCACGACATGTACCAAAAAAACAATTGATCCAAAACTATGAATTGTCTTATTAAGGCATTGCCGATCATTTCTAGAGCCCCAAAATACTTATACCTATTCCAAGGACAAAACATTGTGCAGTAGTATTTCCAAGGATGAATTTTCCAGAACCATAGTTTAAAAAACTAACACGAAAAAAGTAGGCCCTAATTTTAGAATTTGGTGAACATTAAAGAAAAATAGGGTGATTTTTGGGTATGAAATATATAATAATTATATTATACTATAAAACTTTGGAAAATCAGGTACTTAAGGTTTATTTGTCAGTTAGACAATCCTTAATATCTTAGAATAATTTATATAAATTTTGATCCAATTTATTGTATATTGTTTATCTTGAGATATTCCACTCATCATCAACCTTTATATCCAACAGTCTGTCCCATAATTAATTTTATTTAGGATTTTCTACATTAATCATACTGTAACTTACCAATTCCAGCTCCCAAACTGCTTACCAGAGCTATTCAGTTGGCTTTCTAGCATACTAATATTCTACAAAAACTTTATGCTTCTCAAAACACGAAAATATTTGAATTAGACCCATAGTAGACATGAAAAAAGCCCAGAAGGTTTAGTTTCAGCAAGAGAAAACTCACAGTTTCATGCCATTCCCCACGATATACCTCTCCATATGATCCTGAAAGACAACAATAAGCCAGAAATTGACAATTATGTGAGCATAGCTAGAGTCAAGAAGTATCAAATGAAACAGGGTACAGTATTACATAGCATAATGCATGGGTTCATACCAAGTCCAATACGTTCACCCAAGGTGAGTTCCTCCCATGGAATCTCACATTCCGCAACATCATCAAGATCAGATTTTGTGCTATCATTGCCAGCTGATCTATCTGATACTCTCTCAGCTTCTGAATTTGCCCCGAAAGAACCATGTTCCAGCCCTCCACTACCACGTGGCTCATAACCAGCAGAATCTGTATCTCCATCACTTCGTGCACCCTGCTCATACTGCTTATTCACAGCTGCAGTTGTTGCTACCATAGCTGCAGCAGTAGCAGTGGCTGCAGCAGCCACAGGAAGTTCAATATTTGAGTCAGTGTTTGACTTTGCTGCAGCTACTACCATTGAAGATGCAACAACAGCAGCTGCAGCTGCAGCTGCCGCAGCAGCCACAGGGACATCCTTTCGGTATTTTATAGGTGTCACATCAGACTGCAGTGAGGAAGGCTGTCCAGTCGATTCCCTTATATCAGGAAAATTGAACCCTAAACCTTCAGCAGGCTTATTAAGATACTCAGGTTGGTCAAAAAGAGGAGTTCCCTTGGAATACACTCTTTGACGTGGTAGCGGAGGCAAAAAACGAGCTGAACTCAGATCATGTTGATCCTTACTTTCCCCAGTTCCAAAACCCTGTTTATTTTCATCCTTCGTTTCAGTTGGTGACCTGATCTCAGCTGTGGATGCATCTAATTGCTCTTGATAAATTTCAGTAAACAGATTTGGAGGAGCAACAACACCACTTTCAAGCAACACATCATGAAGCTTCTGAGCTAATTGTGGATTCTCTTTGGCAGCATTAATCATGTATTGTGAAACATCTTTCACTTTCATTCTACGCGCTGTTTGAGAGCCAACACCTTCAGTCCAGGAAGGAGATCTTCCATGAGTGTAAGGATAACCAGACCTGCCTGGAACTTCTCGTGCTGGCACGCTCTCTAAATTGGAAAGAATTTTATTGGATTCTTCCTCACCTTTAATTGTCCCAGTAAAAGTTGTAGAAGTATCAAATTTTCCAGTGTCTTCAGATTGACTGGCTATAGCAACAGAACTTCTGAACCTGGATCTCTTTTCAGATGTCCCAAACTCGGAATGTTCTTCAAATGAGCTCCCAACCCCACTGCTGGAGGAGGCTACATGAGATGAGTCAATGTCTCTTGATAAAGGACTGGCTGAGTAAAAAGATTCATCTAAATCTATATGTAACCCAACTGCATCAGAAGGAATAAGAGTTCCAGGATCTGCCATTAGGTCAACAATGTACTCCCTGAAATCCACACTATTAATCATTAATCATCTTAATAAAGAGGTGCACATTTTGCAACACCAAACAAACAATGAACACATATAATGGAAGCTAACTTTCTGCCATGAGACCTTGGTAAGCCGTGTAGCCAATTGAACAAATGCAGAAACCACACATAATTTTAAAACAAAAAGATGCATGCAACAAACTGAAGATTTCTCCTACTCAAGAATCTCATAATAATGGAACTCACGAAATTAATTTTGAGAACAAGTATACAATATAGTAGGCATCATATGCATAAAAAAAAGAATGTTCGAAGTTTTTCATGTGAATATGCTAGACATCATAGATAATCCCTGATTCCTGTGGACAACAAAATAAAGATAGCCAAAACCTAGACATCTGAGATAACTTGTTCACATTGTGAAAAATGGTAACTTCAAAGTTTTAATAGCACTTACCTTCCATCATTAATCCTTACAAAATTCATTGCCACATCATCAGAACCTGTATATTGGTGTCCCTTCACCAACCGGCAAGGGATGCCCACACTATCAGCGATAACCTACATAAACATATAGAACATTAAGTGGACTATACGCAATTGGTGAAAGCAACAGGACTTTAACAAAACAAGCTGAGCTGATCAAAAAGTGATGTGAGGAACAAAGGAAGTATAAAACTTGAGATAGTCAATAAAAACATATGAATAAATATATAAATAAGTGAAAAGGTAAGAGTATTACAAAAATAAAGGTATAGCTATTTAAACATTCCTCTAACAGCTAGATCCAATCTCCTACACCTTCCAGAAAGGAGAAGTAAGAGAAAATGAAGATTTGAGAGATACTTCATCATCCTTTGATTCATTTTGTCAAATCGGCCACTTTCTCTCTATCTAGACCCAATGAAGAAAGGGCTAAAATTTTCTAGACTTGTAGACAATTATTTTATCCAGTTCTCTGTGTGTATAATAACCATACAGGCTCTTATATTAATTCAGCTGTGCATAAATTATTATTTACTTGAATTATTGCACATTCTCGATATATCCCCAACACTTTTCACAATGCAGTTTACAGGAAATGTTTTCTTTGAGAAAAATGGTTCCCCTAGAACACAAAGGTATAACATCTCTGAGCATCCAGCACTAAGAGATTGATACTAGTCTGACAGAAAGGTTTTTGGTCATCCCTCTAGGAAATGACTCTATATACCTGCTGAACTTTTCCACCTATAACCTGACGCATTTGGGTTGGTTTTTTTTGGTTGTTTTCTCCATCTTAGGCAATACTGGTACCTATTATTTGTAGAATAATTCTTCTATTGAAAAGAAGGCTAGTCCAACACATACGGGCACAAATAATTATAAAAGCAATACTTCTGTGTAACCAGAAGAAATTTTAGAACTATGATGTTGCTATGCATTATTATCAAGAAACTTGCACAAATTACAACTTTCATAATTGTTTGACAGTTTTATCAAGCCAACACCCATGCAAATCATATATAGCCCTATCCTAAATCAAGATTTTTGGCAGTTCTCATATTGGACATCCCATGTCTGTCTCAAATACAACACTTGCATGAACAATAATGTTTTTTCAGTAGAAGTCAAAAGCAAATAAAAAGCTCTTCTGTCACAGGGAAGATTGAGGTATAGGATGAATAAAACTTTAGCTAATGACACGAGTAAAGAAATTGAGAATACCATATCATGGAATGACACAAATATTTGAGCATTTTTTCATATTCTCTTGTTAACCTAATCTGAAGCAGTTGATCTGAAAATTGTTTAGAAATTGACCCTCATTCCAATGTCCATACATTTCTAATCACAAGTCAAATCTAAAAAAAGGTACACAATGATATAAGTAACATAAACAGGGACAGAAAGTACAGAATTTTTGTTCATCATAGGGAAGCTAAAAGTGCCAAATTGTTCAAGGAAAATTTCATGTTAATAATCCAAATTTATATTTTGAATTTGGAAACGAAAGCTCCCTGTAACATGGAAGCAAAAATGGCACTATGGGTTATCCAAATTCTAACTTATCCCAGTCTCAACCACCATAAATGGATTTGGTTGCATGAACTTTGTTTTCTGTGACATTCTACTCTATCCAGTGCAATATCAAATTTCACACCATAAACAAATAAATGTCTGCAACTTACCACAAAAAGAATAAATAAGTGAAGCAAGTACCTTAAACAACAATGCACGGTGACGAGCTAAACCAATTCTTAGAGAACCAAGCGGCAAAACCATACTACCAAGAGTTGCTTTCAAACTGGAACTAAGACTTTGAAATCCTCTTAACATGTTTTCAGGATGCCCAACTGGTCCACCCATGTGTTCAGCAACTAAAACAGCAAGCTTTTGCACCAAATCGCTGCTCACAGAAGCTAGAGTTTGTGATCTTAACTTGACAGCCACCTCAAGGGCCTTCTGTTCAAGTTTTAACAAATTTGCATCAGCAGATCTATTGACCAAAACCGCTTCCCAGGTGACACCATCTGAAACAGGTGTTCCTTGCAAATCAACAAGGGATGGCATTTTGTCTGAGGAGGACGCCATCAAGATTCCATACAGGTCGTAAAATCCATCCAAGATCTTGTCATCATAGCTAAGAGAATTGTAATTCTGTGAAGCACGGACAAATCTACGATATGAGATATGTTAGAAAGGAATAAACATGTGGCAAACTAAATCTTAAAACAAATGCCAATTGCCAAGCATTCATTTAAAGATGGCACATAGCATATGTATATCCAACTTCTTAAGAATATATCTTATAAGGTTAATAAACCTTGAATGTTTACAAACCAAAACAGATTTCATCAATTGCTTCACTCATTTGATCATTGTTAAGGAGCCACTTAACCTAAAAGCATAAGCTATTAGATAAGATTCCGACACTAATATCTAAGTCTATCAACCATATCTCAAACATGGGCATCCGATTTGAATTTCAGTTAGTAACAAAGTCCATGAGTAACCAAGGATTGAACCACATAGCAACATAGGGGAAGCCCTATTGTCTTCACAAATATCACCCAATAATCTAAAGTAGAAGATGATAATGGACCAACCTAATTGCTGATCTGACTTTTCCTGTTTCTGTGAATGCTATTACTCTATCAACTTGTTTACCAACTCCACAAAAGAAGTCTCTCCACACTCACTTTCCAGGCCAATATGTATCGCTGAAACTAGATTTTCACAGATAATGAAGCTCAACTATCGAAACAATTACTCCTTTCTTTCAACTAGTTAAAAAACTCGACAGGGCCTCTCAATAACATGGGTCTGACATCAGGAAGCTAACAACATTAATAATTTATTGTCTCTTCCTTTCATCACATCTTGAGTAACATATATCACGAAAATCACATGAATGACACTGACAACTTCCCAGAACTTATTATTCAATTTCTTTCGTCTTCCTAACTTAACTTCACATTAAAGACAAATAATTTCATCAGAAAGAAATAACAAATTTATGGCAACATCAATAGCTTGATAATAGAACATGTCAGTTGACTTAAAAAACCAAGAAGTAATGAAAATGTTCCTTCACATAAAGTTATAATAACTAATGAAATTAATAGCAACAAGACTTGACTTGAGTCAATTAGATAGTAATTGAAAAGGCAAACTTACCCAGTATCTATATGCAACAATTTCAGCAGGAGTATTTTCAGGATCACAAGAACCTAAACTGATTTGCTTAACAGCCTCAATCTGAACAGCCTCAGGATCCTCCTTTGCACTCAACTCCAAAGCCAATTGTATCTGATACTCTTCCTCTATATCAGGATCCCTGGAGTTAGTGGACCCTGAGTCATGCCTCACAGTATCCAAAACAACATCTGAGCCACTACCACTAACCAAATCAGCAGGCTCAGTTGTTCTTTCTGCTCTTGTCACATTTGAAGAAGATGGTGGACTTGGACTTTTTCTATTTACAACTGAATTCAACCAATTTGAAAGACCAGAATTGGATTTATTCTCAGGATTATGGAGGGATGATGATGATGATGACGATGACGATGCTGGTAATTCATGGGACTTACTAATCTTTGATGAAGCTGATCCTTCTGGATCTTCTGATGGATTAGACATGATATGAAGCTTCTTGAGAAGATTCTTCATACTATTTCACCAAGCTAATGTATTGAATGCTAAAAAAATAAAAATCTGGCCATAAACATCTCCATTGTCTTGGACCAAGCATGAATAAATCTCAAGCCACCAAGTCAAAAATCACAAAGCTCTAAGCAATCCAACAGAAAACCACCCTTTTGACTTACACAACAAAAGTACCCAGATGCTTTAATTGAAAGATAAACATCCACTTTTAATAACACCACCCTCTTGAAGATCAAAACAATCAAAGTTTGAAGAACATCAAACAAAGATATTGAACGCTTCAACCTTGAACATAAGTGAGAAGAGAAAAGATTAGATCTTTCTTAGGATAAAGAGTAGAATAGAGAGGAAGGCATAGAAAAAAGAGAGAAGAAACAGAAGCAAGAAAAGAGACAACTAAGAGGAGGAGCAAGTGGGAGAAGAGAAGTAAGAGTAGGACCTCAAATCAAAAATAGAGTGACCCACTTGAGTTTAGAGGCAGAAGGATTTCAAGGTCCCATAAAAAGGTTTAATTGGTGCCAAAACAACTACAACTACACCAACAACCAACTTGTTCGCTGTTTCTCTCACTCTCTCTTCCTCTTCTCCACCTATCTAGAAGTCCACAAACAAATAAACAATGTCTCTTTCTCTCTCTTTTATGTCCAAAACTGTAAAGTATAAACTATTGTGTCTTCAAAATCTTGGGACTCCAAATACTTCCATCTTATCAATGGTGGCAAAGCTTGGAAATTTGTGGTGAAAACTTAAAACTACTTCGACAAAAAGATCATTTTTTTTTTCTTTTTTCTTATTGGATTTTTATTTTATTTTTCACTTATATTGTGAAAATGTTTTCTTATCTATATATATTACATCATTCATGTTCCACATTATAGAGAAAAATAAAATTAATCATATTATAAAACATAAAAGGCGATTTGCACTATACATAATTATATGAAATATCATAATAAAATGATAATTAAAAACTTCTTCTGATAATTATTTAAATTTAGATTATATTTAATATTTTTGTAAATTATATTACTTTACCATACTGATAATTAATTTTGAGGTGGTGTATTATACGTGCAAAATATGTTTGGATTATTGCTATTTTTGAGTATTGTTCCTTTAATAATTTTAAATAAAATAAATATTCAAATATGGAAAAATTTTGTTCTCAAATGCGCTTCATTGGGCCAAATTCGGAAACCCCACGTGCAATTTCTCACGCGTCAAAGTTTGCTCTATGTTATGAATTCACATGGCAACAATACATTTCTTATATCTATTCATGCTTAATTACCAATATTTATCTCTTTACTTTAGTATAATTTTAGCTTGTTTGTCTACTTTGTTTACTATAATCATATTTATAGCAATGTTTATATACTCGGACTGGCCTTGACCCGATCAAGGGGCTAGTCCCTCGAGTTGGCGGTTTGACTAGTCCGACCAGCGAGGTATTATAGGAGTTGAGAGAAAATGGTTGGTCGACTCGCGGTTTAACTGGTGATTCGACATTGTTATGCCCATCCAACCCCAAGTCAATCCAGTCCAATTGCTACAACTCGAATCAGATAAAAGTCTGGTTCCTAGTCAGATTGGTCCGATTTGGGTTTTAAAATAGAGGTATATAGACAAGTATTAATTTTAATGATTATCGAAGCCTATCTAGTTGGGTTTATTTACTACCCAAATAAACTTATTTAAAGCTATAAGTACTTTTGAAATTGTTTTTCTGTTGTTTGGTTGCGTAAAGCACTTATATAATTTAAAATAAGTTATTTAAAGTGTTGAAATTTCAAAGATATTCCTATTCAAATTAATAAATTTGACTTGAGTTATTCTTGTTTGATAAATTAATATTAGACAGCTCTTTTATAATTTCTTGACCAAACAATTATCATAATTTTCAACGAAGCTCTACTCATATAAGTTCTATTCTAATAAATCGTTCTTCTATAATTTATGTTATAGAAGCCGCACCAAATGGACCCTCAATCAAATTCAATAATAATAAAAGTTAAATCTGATATAAAAAACATTAGCTTGTGGCACCTTGTGGTATGGTTATCGCGGGATTTCTATAATATTTTAGGCTCCGTTTGGTTCACAATTTTATGTTTTTGGGAAAAGTTTTTTGAAAAAAGTTAAAAAAAAATTGAATTGGACTGGTATTACGATGTAGGATTTACAAATTCTAAAATACCCCCTATGTTTGTTTTTTTACAAAACACCCCTTATAATAAAATATTAAAAGTTAACAAAAATACCCCCAATCCACCCTCAAATATGGACAGCCGGCCACCACCGCCGGAGGGTGGCCGGAGTCGCCGTAACAAAAACATTAAAAATATTTAGGGGTATTTAATTGAATTAACAAATTTAGGGGGTTTAAAAAATGTTGAATAAAGTTGAATAATATTGTGAGTTTTTGGGTATTTTACTGTTTAACTTTTTTGGGAATACTAAAAGTAGTATTCCCAAAATCCAACCAAACGAAGCCTTAGATTTTATTTTTTATTTTTTTGGTTATGAAGGACTAAATAAATACGATTCCACAAAATCCAAATATCCACCTATATTTTACCCAAAATTGTCTATAGCATAAAGTATTTTAGTCTCGAATAATATCAATTCAAGTAATGAAAAATTATTTGTAAAATTTGATTTAATCTCTTCAATTGATTTTCATATGTAATATGATATGTCTTAATTAATATAATTTGTAGCATATACTTTAATTGCATGGAGTTAACTCTAAGCTTGAATAATTTGTAGCATATACTTTAATTTCATTAATTAACTTTGTGGAGGACTATAGTTCTATTGGATGTAGCTCTCATAAATAAATGAAAAGGACCAAACATTACATAGACAATTTTGCGGCTCTAATTAAAAGTGGATAATATACTACTTTTATCATAAATTGAGTGTAACGGCTTCAATTCACGAATATACCAATTACTTATTAGAATATTATTTTTAATTCGTATTATTTGAAAAATGACTGTTAATATTTTAAATAATATTTTGAATTATCCCAACTTACTATTTACACGTAGGAAAACATTTAAAATCTTATAATAAAATTAATTAATATTTTAAGTAAAATATACCTATAGGTCAATCTCATTGACTTTGGGTAGCTGTCATCCTCATTTAATAATAATCCCTAAAACCCCATTTTAAATTATTGGTCAACTAGTTTGCCTTTTGAGGCCAATCTATTCTACCCCATTACCAGGTCACTAGATTATTATTTTAATTCTCAATTTAATGTATCCAATTTCTTCGTTGGATATTATATGGTTTGATTCATTATAACATTTCCTAAAGAGTCGGAGGATTATGTTTGATCAAACCTTCGATCATGAATCTGAGGTTCAGATAAAATTATCCTTGTAAACGAATAAGGTTATTAATTATTAAATTTAATCTTTACTCGAGAAGCATTGATAAATTATATTTTAACATCGAGCCTAGGGGTGCATACGAGCCGAGCTGAGTCGAGTAGTGGCTGGCTCGAGCTCGGCTCGAATGTATTAGGAGGAGGCTCGAGCTCGAGCTCGAGGGGCTCTGGCGCAGGAGCTCGAGCTCGGCTCGTTTAAAAAAATAAACAGCTCGAGCTCGGCTTGGCTATTTATAAGGATTTAAGAAAACAACATCGTTTTGAACCCACCTACTTCTTCTTCTTCCACCACCCCGCCCATTAACTTCTTAGTCGAATCTACTGAAACCAAAATCCAACGCCTCATCTCCACCCAGTCATAGGCCTGCAATCAAACCAAACATGAACGAACAGGCCTGTTTGAAAATCGTTCGATAAGCATGTTCGATTGTTCGTGTTCGTGTTCGTGTTCGAACGAACACAAGATGTGTGTTCGTGTTCGTTCGATTAAGAAAAAGCTCGTTCGTGTTCGTTCGACTAACTCGTTCGATAATTTATAAATACCTGTTCGAATAACTCGTTCGATAACTTGTAAATACCTGTTCGAATAACTCGTTTGAATACATGTTCGAATAAAAAATATACACCAACTTTCCAATTGATGCTCTAAAAAACAAATATGCAACAATTTATAATTCATATCCATTTAATTCAACATTTGAAAATAAATCAACTCTCTATCTATATTTATATTTTAAACAAATCAATAAAAACTCAGTAAATTAAAATAACTAACCATCATAAATAATAAAACTTCAAAATAAATTAAACAGAACAATAAATCGTTCAAAACAAATTTAGTTCCATATCAAACATGACACAAACAAAAAGAATTTGTTTACATATATATTTATTATCATTACATAAATTATCATAAATATTTTAAATGTTTACATATATATTTTGTATCAACACTCATAAATTTATAGTGGAATGAAAGTCTATTGTAATATATGATCAATACATATGTTATCATTACTGTATATGTATATATATTTTGTATTAACACCTATAAATTCATAATGGTATGAGGGTTTATTGTAATATATGATCTATACAAATGTGTGATTAATTTAGGTTTAATTAAGCTATTATATTATTAAATTTGTTATATTATACATCGCTTGATTATACAATATGTTATGTTTATCAATTTACCATACTATATTTATTATTTATTAATTGAAATGCTATCTTATAATATTTAATTATTGATTACATTTAGAAAAATATGAAGCTATTATGTTATTGGATTTACTATATTATATATCATTTGATTATACAATCTATTACGTTATTAAATTTGTCATGATAGTTATCATAATAATTTATTACTTTTTAATTAAAATGTTATATACTTATATATTTAATTATTGATGACATTTGGAAAAAAAATCCAAACATATTATATATATATAAGAAAAACAAAAGTATCATAATATTTTATTATTGATTACCATTAAAAAAAAATTCATCCAAACTAAATCAAACATAATATAAAAATGAAAAAAAAAATTAAATTATGATAATCCATAACATGTTTTTCGAACATAAACGAACGAACAATCGAACGATTTTTTGCGAACGTATGGATTATTCGAACGTATATTGTTCGCGAACATAATCTAACGAACAACCTCTGTTTGAACTCTATTGAATATATTATCGAACGAATATCGAACTGTTCGCGAACAAATGTTCGCGAACATTATCGAATAGTAATCGAACGAACAACGAACGTTTGCGAACTGTTCGGTTCGTTTGCAACCCTATCCAGTCATAATCTTCAGTCATGAGGAAACTACTCACCACCATCGGAGTTCACCCCACCGTCATCAAACTCGTGAGATCTCAGCTTTACCTCCAACCTCCTCTCATGCGGCACCTGCGTCAGTGGCCTTGACTCTCTCTCTGTTTTCGACCAAATGAATGACTTTATTTCAGATTTTATGGCAAATATGAATACGCGAGCTGAAACCTTACCGATCGATCTCATGAGCTCTCCTACTCAAATGAGGTCTTGAGTGATTCGAATAGCTCGCGAACAGTTCGAATCAAACCCGAAAAGCTTGACATTTTTCACGAGCTTGAAGTTGAGCTCGAACTCGTGAACTAATCGTTCTCCAACGAGTCAAGCCTGAGCTCGTCACGAGTCGAATCCAAGTAGCTCACAAGCTATTCAGTTCGACTGCACCCCTAATTGAGCCTATCACGTTATTGATCTTAATCCAATGATGATGTTAGAAGGTTATACCTGCGGGAAATTACAATAATTGATCTATACATGTCTAACTTTTGAGGCTTTTCACGGTCAAGACCATTTTCTTATCTTACACGTATCCTCTTAAAACATCTTAGAATGAATTTTACAAAAGCTCGACAAAGTTTTTGATTCTTGCAGAAATTTCAAAAAAAAAAAAAAAAAATGTAATTAAAAGGAAAAGGGTAAGGGAGAGGGTATTAAGTTAGTTGGATTGGACTAATTCATGGGCGGCAAAACTTGTCCTAAGCTTTAAGTGCCAAAAGCTTACATCTATCTTTTCTTTTATTTACTCGAAAAGCGTGGCAGTTGCTTTCTTAATTACTTCCAACTACACACTTTTCCTTCCGTCAATACCACGCTCTACAATTTCTCACTCTGATTCGTGCGTGAAAGTACGTGGACGGCGGAGCACGTGGGGAACAGACTTAAATTCTGGGCCAGCATTATTCAATCAAAAAGGAGCTTTTAAGTGGAATTTCTCTGATTATGATTGGAGCGTGGGGAAGCGCGTGTATTAATTTAGTTTATTTCTAGTGGAAGATTAATGAGCCACCTCATTCCACTACAAATTTTTTTTTTTTATTATTTTATAATATAATATTATAATGTAACTAAGGAAATCACGATACAAAAAGTAAATTTTTATATACTGTAAATTTAGGGTGTTGAAAGAGGTATCGTATCATAATGGATCATGTAGATATTGATAAATAATGCAGATTCAATGTCTATATAAGGATGAAAGTGATATCTATAAATATTATAAGTTTTGCGACTATGAGGAATTTGATTTTATGGGAGTCGAAGTGCAATATGTTCGATGAATGATGGGGTCTGAAATGAAATCAGGAAGTTTTCATTTTCAACAAATAAGGGGGTCAAAGTGGAAAATCTTAATGTTAAGGGATGAATTAATATTTGTACATAAATTCTGAAAAAATTTGCTCATTGATTTGAATTTTCTGTGTCCATTAAGGGCCAAAACCGAGAATTTGAAATTGTGGGAGCCAAAGGTAATTTGACGAATAATGGGGTCAGGATAAAAGAATGAATTCACGAAATTGAATTTAAGGGGCCAAGGTGTCAAGTTCAGCAAATGCGGGGGTTATAAAAATCTTAACTTTTAGGGATGAAATTGATAGATTTCAATATAAATTCTGAAAAATGTTATAGAATATAGTTGTACAGGTGGGGCCAATTAGATAAAGAATGGTCACATAACATCATCACTCAAAACTTATAATTAGGGTTTTAAAAAAACAAAGTAGGTAGCAGATGACATCTTTAATTATTGGTGGTTAGTACAAAAAATAATCTTTAAATAAAAAAAGAACTTCTACAAAGCATATTAAATTATTTGTTCAAAAGTTCAAACATATCTACTACGAGGATGAAATTTAATTGAATAGGATTTCAATCTATTTAAAATTGGGGTTGTTTAATCAAGTTTAGTTTTTTAATTGGATTGGATTTTGAGTCAAGATTTTATTAATTGAGATTATAAATTATTCTTTCTACTCAATTATTGAATTGGGTTGCATTTGAAAATATCCATTAGCTCCAAACCTATGATTTATATATATAAAAACCCTCCTAAATTAAATGAAAATTTATATTAAGTCATGTATACATACATATATATGCTAAAATTAATTATATTTAACCAACTCGAATACATATTATACAATGAAAAATGCTAGGATTCTCACATAAAATTGCTAAATATTTAGGCTAGTCAAGTTAAAGAGACCTTGGCAGCCCTTGGAAGGGCTGCAAAATATGCCCATCCAAGGGCTGCCAGACCGTTACAGGCCCAGTAAGTTTACAGGTCCTGAGTATAATGCATTTGGCACATTATTTCTATCCATATTTCCAATCATATTCCCCAAATATTATTTGTTTTATTATTTGAGAAATATTAGTATATTTTTTAATTACTTTTAGACCCCTTAAGTTTATTAATTTTATTAAATGCCTCCCAAAAAAGGTTTAACAATTAACAAAAACACCCCTACCCACCCATACTTGCCAGATTCTAGCAACCACCATCCGTGGTAATCAGAATCTGCCACAACGACCTACAAACGACCGTCGATGGCCGATAATTTACCGATCTGGCCGTCAGCGACGGCCAAAGAAATTGTCGTCGTTGATGGTAAACGACGGCCAAATCTTGGCCATTGTTGACCGACAACGACAACCATATCTTTGGCCATTGCTGACGACTAGATCTGGACTTTCTGGCCTTTTTCAGCCCTACCCGCCAGATTCGACCAGTCTGCATCGTAACGGCATTTTTTGGCCAGATTCTAACGGTGGTGGCCGGAATCTGGCACTGTGGGTGGTGGGGGTGTTTTTGTTATTTTACAAAAATTTTATATATTGGGGTGTTTAGTTAAATTAGCAAACCTATGGGGTTTTTTTTATAAATTTTTAAATTTTATCTTGTAATACTCTCTTATTCAACTAACCAATATTATTCTCAAAATCCTATCCAAAATAATAAAACAAATAGACCCATATTGTCATATTGAATATGGAATTCATTGTCCATGTTAATGAAAATTCTCTAAGTGCGGACGTAAAATTCAAACTTGAATTTTCGCTAACAGAATTAACTCGTGCATGCACGAATTAACGCTTGTTACTGAAAATTGAGATCCGGTTTTAAAAAGAATCATAACGTCCGCAGAAGAGATCGAATATCTGGTGTTAAAGAAGAAGTCAAGTGTCAAAAGGTACTGAAATTGCATAGAAAATCTAATGTCAAATACACAGTTGCACAAACAACATAGAATTCACAAAGAATGAGAATTAGATTTGCAACATTATCCTATTCCTTTTACAACGGCGGTGGTTGCGGTGGTTGTTGTTGTTCTGGAGGCTGTGATTGTGCTACTTGAGGATCCTCTTTCAACGGCGTGCTAATGTCCATCATTGCCAGCGCTTCTAGCTCTTGGACTGCTGCCACTGCACTGCTCTGGCTTTCACTGCTTAACTGAGGCTTTAACACGCTGACGGCTTGACTGACTTTTGTTTGCTGCAAGTAAGAGAACTTGTAAGATCAACGATTGTTCCCAGCACAATCTGGTATCGTAAGAACACACACAACAAAGATATTATTAAAATAAATAAAAAATAAAAATAAAAAACTTACAAAGAGTTCAAGCTTCCTCTTAAGGTCTCCAATGACTTCATCAGGTCCTGCTGTTTCAGTTAATGGCTCTGAAAGGTTCTTCATTTCAAAATGGCAAGAACAATTAAAGAAGAGTTAACAAAAATGAATTAAACAAAAGAATGTTTAAGCCAGTGTGCTTAAACCTAGCGAGATTGAACAAAATGCAACAAACAATTATCAAAAATGCAATTCATAAAATGATTGAACCAAACAATCTCATCTCAAGAACACTAGCAAACTTTCAGAACTACTTGAAAATGATAAAATAAAAAAAATAAAAAAAAATAAAAAACTATGGGGAAAAGACTGATTTTAAATATTAAAATCATGTTTAAGATATTAAGAATATTTAAATCCAATTCAGTTATTTAAATTCTCTCAGTTAGGCATGGTTTTATGTTATAAAGTTCATACAACTAATTCACTTTTGCATTATTTAAAGAAGACGAACCAGTTGAATATGAGCAATCTTCGACTCATCATTTCTGCAGCTTTCAATCAGATCAGGACAGTCTCTAATCACCAATTCCTTGAGGGAAGTAAGGCGTTCTATCCCTTCTGGAAGAGATGACAATCTGGGGCAGTCTTTAATCTGAAGTTTTTCAAGTGATGTGAGATTTTCAAACCACTCTGGTAGTGCTTCTAAGTTTTTACATGTTCCAATCTCTATGTACTTCAGAGTGCCAGCAGATGCTTGAAAAAGAAGCTGGGGCAAATCCACTAGTGAATCTAAACCATAAACTATGAATTTTTTAAGACTCAGCCTCAGGTCAAGATCTTCTGCTTGCAATTCCATCTTCAAATTAAGATTGTGGCTATACGAAATCACTAACATCTCTAATTTTGTCAGGTATTTGATAGTATTTGGTAACGAGCTCACAGAAGTGTCTTCTAGATGCAACGTTCGGAGGCTTTTCAGACCTTGCATCCCTTCACACAAACTTACTAGATTGTAGCAGTGATATAAGTACAAATATTGAAGGGAACCCAAACATCCAATTTCATTTTCTGGAAGAACATCATCTTGTGTGGTTATTTCCAAGTATCTAAGGGAAATCATCTTGCGTATGTTATTAGGCAACTTCTTAAGCTGATAACAACTACGAAGTCTTAACATTTGCAATTTTTGAAGCTCGCAAATAGATTCAGAGATCTTCTTCAATGAAGAATTCTGAGCTAGATCAAGGTACCTCAAATGTCTCAATGTACCGATAGAATTTGGCAACTCTTCCAAAAGTATACCATACAAGAATAATAGTCGGAGGTACTTGAATTTAGATATATCTTCACTAATAAATGATCTAAGAATAGGCGCATCTCCGTATTTCTCTGCTACTGGAAGGACAACGCTTCGAACACTCCTTGAGTTATTAACTACGAGTTGTAAAAATTCTTCACCACATAACTCTGTGTCACCATGTGAAAAATGCCGAAATTTCCCATCAACTTTTTGGCTTCCGAAATTTATGAATGCAGACTCACCTTTTGTCATTGATAGTGCAAGATCATGCATAAGATCATGCACTGTAAATTGCCAACAAAAATTACGATCCCAGAAATCCTCTAAGAAACCCCTTGACCATAAATCTTTGATATATTGATCAGCAACATCTTCTAACTCTTCAGTTTCATCAGAGGTTTTAAGAAGTCCAAGCGCCATCCAATATTGGGCCACATAATCATTTTTATAATTATAATCCTTCGGAAACAAGCAAAGATAAGTAAAACATCGCTTCAAGGGAGATGGCAAATGATCATAGCTCAATTTCAATACTGGTAAGATGTCTTCATTATCTTGATCCACCTGCCAGATGTCATTTTTTTTTTTATTTTCAACCACTCATGTTCGTCCGTGTTTGCATAAAGTAAGCTCCCTAAAGATTTCACGGCCAACGGAACTCCTTTACATTTTTCTACAATGTCCTTCCCAAATTTAACGAGCCTTGGAAAATCTTTCCCTTCTCCATCTTTGAATGCATACTTCTTAAATAATGACAAGGATTCCTCACTGGAAAAACCTTGTAAAAAATGTGAGGGAACAGTGCTCATTATTTCTGCAACCTTTTTACTTCGTGTGCTCACAATAATTTTACTTCCGCTGACACCATTCATTAGTAAATCTTTCAATTCCAACCATTTCATCGGCTTCTCATTCCAAACATCATCCAAGACAAGCAAAAATTTTTTACCTGTCAAAATTTCCTGTAAATGCTTAGGAATTTCATCTCCTTTTAACTTACTACAATCCTGATCACGATTTGTTGCAGATTTAATAATTTCTTTCATCAATCTGATGACATCGAAGTCCTCTGACACGCATGTCCACATCTTTAATGGAAAGAACTTATCTACCCTTTAATCATTATAAACCATTTTAGTAAGAGTAGTTTTACCCAAACCCCCCATTCCAACTATCGGAATGACAGAGACATTATTGTCGGTTTGTTGCATTAAAAAGCTTATGATCTTTTCTTTATCATCCTCTCTTCCAATAACACAAGAAACCCCCAAGAAGGGATTAGTCTCCCTCTCCTTTGGAATCACAAACCTAACTTCAACAGGAGTACTCTCAATAACAGAAAATCTACTCCTATCACTTGCGATTTTATTTAGTCTTTCTCTAATCTCCTTGATTTGATGACTAATTTCAGATCGAAAAGCAACAGGATTAGAGCTTGAAAAGCATTGACATACCTTTCTTAATGTGCTCCTCTTTTGTCTCACCACTTCCCTCCCGGAAGCTTGAAGCTCGAATTCTTCTAAAACGTCCTCAGCATCAAGGAGAACATCCTTAAGCTTCCCAAGCCAGTCACGCAGCTGATGATTGTGTGCCTGCTTTTTCTCAGCATCCAAGAGCACGGCTTGGATAGTGCTCAGGGTTCCCGCAAGGCTTTCTAAATCACTTTCAAGATTCCACAACGAAGACACTTCCCGACCCAGAATTAATTCTGCCATTTTCTCTCAGAAGAAACGAAGAGAGCGAAAATAAGCTAGTTGAAGATAATGGATGCTTAATATGCACCTACTCTAGCTATACCGCTAACATAAAAGACCGCATCCAAGGAATAAAAAATTCGTTCCAGTGCTGGAGTTGGTATGAGAATCTGAATTCTAGCGATACCGCTAACATAAAACCTCAAAAAGTCAGCATCAAGGAATAAAAAATTTGTTTCAGCGCTGGAGCAGGTATGAGAATGGGACTCTTGAACATATAAAATTTTATTCGACTTAAATATTAATTTTTGAAACTCAATCCGTGTGATGAACCACGCCATTGGCCATCGGCATTTATCTCCACAGCTGTATTCAAGGGAAGACTCTGATTCTCCAGCTCTATAACCAATTCCGGACTGTTGTTTAACTAACACCATCTACGTTGAATACAATACAATTCACATTGTGCTCTATAAGTTTACTCAAATTAATTTGAAGCACAAAAAACAATATCCTTCGATTGGATCTAAAACCAATAATGTTTGAGTAATGTTACAGTTACCGACGGGTGTGCATCGAATTTGTGCACCGAATGATGTGACACAATCCTGACCGTTGATTTATTATCAGTTAATATTAATCAACAGTCAGGATTTTGCCACGTTATTCGATGCACAAATTTGGTGTAAACTTTCCGATAACCTTCGTGGGAGTGCGTTTTGGTCTTTTGTTCACACCTTGTGGAGTCGGTTGGTATTTAATTAATTACCTTTGTTAAGTGGAAGGAAAACTGATAAAAAAAGAGGGGGGAAAAGTGATAATTTTTTATTCAAATTTTTTCTCATAAACTTACTTGGTAAAATATGATTAAGTAAAGTTTATTTTAAATTTAAAATCATTCAATCGTATTTTATCACATAATTTATAAAAGAAAATTTGTATAAAAAAGTTGTGGATGTAATACAATTGTTTTCCCATTTTTATTTTACAAAAAGGAGGAGGATGAAGGATTTTTATTTGTAAATAGAATTAATCCAAGCAAGCAATTAGGGGGTCCAATTCTTCACAATTAATGGTACATATTTTATACTTTTAAAAAATTATTTATTTTTAGTGTTTCCTTTTCCTTTTTAATTATTTATTTTAGCCCACTTTATTTATTCCCACCAACCACCCCGTACAATTGAATATATTTTCCTTTTTTTTCTTTCTTATTTTATAAATTTAACAACACAGAAATATTATTTATATTGAAAATAAAAATAAATAAAGAAAATAATCCTTTCATCCCTTCAATTAATTTGAAGCACAAATTAGATCTAAAACCGATAATATTTACTCAAATTCAACTCGGATCTTAGATTCAAATAAAGAAATCCATAAAAAATATAATTTGAGTTTGTTTAATTTCGATACTTCTCAGATACAAACTTAAAATTCTCGTCCTAGTTAAAAGTAATCCTTTCATCCCTTCAATTAATTTGAAGCACAAAAAACAATATGCTTCCATTGGATCTAAAACCAATAATTTTTATTTAAATTTAACTCAGATCTTAGATTCAAATAAAGAAATACATGGAAAAAGCATATTAAATTATTTGTTTAAAAGTTCAAACATATCTACTATGAGGATGAAATTTAATTGAATATGGAATTCACTGTCCATGTTAATGAAAATTCTCAAGTGCGCACGTAAAATTCAAACTAGTTTGAATTTTCGCTAACAGAATTAACTCGTGCATGCACGAATTAACGCTTGTTACCGAACACTGAGATCCGGTTTTCAAAATAATCATCTGCATGTTTGGCTTAATATTTTTATCCATATTCTGGATCCTATTCTCCACAGAAATATTACCCTATTTTTTTAATTACATTTAAACCCCATAAAGTTATTAATTTCACTAAATACCCCCTGAAAAAAAAGTTTAAAAATTAACAAAAACACCCCCATCAACCCAACTTGTCAGATTCCGACAACCACCGTCGGTGATAGCCGGAATCTGTACAACGGCCTAACTTTCGACTAGAAATGGTCGAAAGTTCACCGATGTGGCCTTTTCCGGCCAGATCCACCACGAATCTGGCCGGAAAAGGCCAGATCTGGCCGTCAGCGACGGCCAAAGAAATGACCGTCGTTGACCGAAAACGACGGCCACATCTTTGGCCGTCAGCCCATCGTTTGACTTTTTTCGGTCGTCGACGGCCATTACAGACCGTAGATCTAGCATTTTCCGACCAGATCCACCATGGATCTGACCGGAAAAGGCCATAACGACGTGTTACGGCACAAATCCGACCGGTCTGTGCTGTAACGAAATTTTCCGGTCAGATTCCGACGGTGGTGGCCAGAATCTGACACTGCAGGTGGTGGGGGGTGTTTTTGTCATTTTATATGTTAGGGTCTTTAGTTAAATTAGTAAACCTAAAGGCTTTTTCACAAATTTTTAAAATTTACCTCGTAATACTCCCCTATCCAATAACCCAATACTATCCCCAAAATCCTATCTAAAATACTAAACCAAACGCACCCCATAACATCCGCAGAAGAGATTGAATATCTGGTGTTAAAGAAGAAGTCAAATGTCAAAATGTACTGAAATTGCATAGAAAATCTGGATACAGTAACATGTAAACACAAGCTAATGTCGAATACACAGTTGGACAAACAACATAGAATTCACAAACAATGAGAATTAGATTTGCAACATCATCCTATTCCTTTTACAGATTCTCTTTCCTTCCGGTGTCTCAGTTAGAATACTTCTACAACTCTCTCTGATCCAGGGAATGAGGTTCAGGTTCCTAAACATCACAATAAATTAAATTCACAAGCTTTTTGCACAGTTTTTACTTATCTTAAGTCTGAACCAGTGGTGCCACGGGTTGTGGTTGCGGTGGTGGTGGTGGTGGTTGTTGTTGTTGTNAGTGATACTAATGGATGAGGATGAGGAGAGCCCATTTTCCCATTTATTTTTACAAAAGAAGCAGGAGGAAGGATTCTCTGCAGTCTCCAAATCAGGTTCTTGCATGAGAGAATGAGACTTCCAATAGTAACTCAACCAATAATAAATCCATTTGCCATTTTATGGCCTGTTTAACCTGTAGGGCTATATCCTTCACCTCCCTCGGGTTTGAGATAGTGTATGAATATTTATAAATTGGTCAAAAGGGAATGAATGTTCGGTGATAATTTCCAAGTATTTTAAGGGTTCTTTCTTCCTCACATGAATCTTTGAATGCCTTTGTCCATTTTATTTTTCTTTGCATTTAAAAGAGGTGTAGAAGTACAATGATGGAAATTGCCCAGAACCGACCTCCTGTCTCCTGTTTTTCAAAATGCTTTTCAAATTTGTTTTCCAAAATAATAAAAACAACCCCTAATATTATATGGGACTATATAATAGATAACTATCACGGTATATGTGTATTCAACCAATAAGAGTTTGTAAAGTCAATATATGTGATCTACACATTTCTCCTGATTGATTGCATACACATGCAAACGATATGGAGAAAATACTACATCAGATTACATGATCTGTAAATATATAGTGATGAATCAGAAGTACAGATGTAATCTGTAGATACATCATGATTGATCGAAAATACATACATCCAGCATACAGAATTATAAATTGTTGTTTGTTTTAATTCCATAACCCATTTGAAGTTACCCTCCAAATTTCTTGAAAATTATCAGCTTATGATACAGATACTTTATTACCTGTGAAACCAAAGCCAACACACTGTTTGAAAGGATTGAAGATTTTCCATCTTATTGTGGTGACAATGTAAACATCTCAAACTATGTATCATGTAATGCAATAGAACAATTTTGGAACCTAAAATTCCAGAATTTCATGAAATGAAGATGATTACAGAAGTTGAATGTTATGGTTCTATACATAGGAAGGAGTATGCTTTCAAATGGAACCGCACCTTCATCAGTCAAACAAGTCTACGGAAATTTGTGATGTCCTTATCCGAAGGTCCATCCGCGAAGGGCAGCAATAAGCTGCTTCATGAATTCTTTGATCTGCAAATGTCTGAGAACAAAAATCATATGCCACGAGTAAGGAATGAGAACCAGGGCTTGAATCATCGCAGAGTAAACACATAATAAGCGCAACTGCATTTAGTTTCATTTTAAGTACTACTGATAGCAGATGAAGCCATAGCACAGCTGCCGATAAAATGTCAGCCAAGCTCGAACAAATTGTAACAAACAATTAGAACACTGAATTCAAAACAACATTAAACAAGAACATTATGATTGTCAGAGTAAAATTAACAATAACAAACTCATTAAAAGACTGGAACAAGAAACCAGATAATCGGACACAGAATCACTACTCTAAATTGTTTTCATCAAAATGGGACTTCCCTGCCTCAAGTTAGAAAATGGACAATTCAGCAACCAGATAACCAAGCCTAATAAATTCCACAAAATCACATATCATTCATGATAAAAAATTATTCAAATGCAAGCATTGCTAGTTTAAAAAGAATGAAAAAGCATGTCACAAAATTACCAGCAAAATCTTGGTCATCATCTGTGCCACGGTTTACAGCAAACAAGTCAAACAAGCTATTTCACTTTCGATCTAGTTTATGCAAATCAGTTTCCTACTCTTCTTTCAAGCCGGAGCGTCTCTATCCCTAGCCCAAACCCTGCTCAAATGCTTCTCAGGCTCCAGAAACATATCCCTGCTCCTGTAGCTCCCACTCCTTGCATATTTCAACTTTCAGAGCAATTTGTTATCTTCTTTATTGATTTCAGATTTCTCTTTTTAGCATTATCTTCAACTCCCTCGCCACTGCTTTGATTTCATTTAAATTATTTTTATGCCTATAAAAAATAATAGGGAAACAAAAAAATCTGACTTTTGAATTCTCTTTACTAATTCAAAACTTTAGTCTTTAGAATGAAAAAACTCATAATTTTGAAGTAAAAGAAAAACAATAATTTTTCAGGCTCTTCTGCTTTGATGATTTTAAAGGTCTTCCACTACGAAAAACATGTATTTGATAAAGCAAGAATGCAGCAACTTCCTCAAAGAGTAGCCAACAGGCTCATAGATTCTTACGCGACTCCAAACTCTCCTGAATTTGGAGTTGTGAAATCCGAGCGGAGTTATAACCCCTATTAGTAAGTAAAGAAAACATATGATGCCTCGATTTCCTCATGAAAAGCATTATTTTCGGTCCTGCACTAAAATTGATTCAAAAATCAAAACTTTATGATTGAAATTCTAATTATGAAAGAATAAAAGAATTTCATGTAAAGAATTACATTTATTTTTTCTTAAATTTCACCTTGATACTTTGATTGAATATACTCCATGTATATGACCTATATTATACTTTTTTTCTATCTTCATTTTCAGTTCATCTTTATAACCTAGATACATGTTTCTCTTAGGAAAGCACTTTAATTTTTTATCTAATTGAAGAAAATTCCTATTCCTGTAGTACTTTGATAGAGATAACTAAGAAACAAATACATGAAACTTTGAAACTTCACAAATGATTGGAGGAAGACGAACCAGATTGAAGAAGAAGTGGAGCAGCTGAGGCTGGCGCTGGCCTTATGTGCCGTCGGCAGCGGAGGCGGTAGCACTGGAGGAAAGAAACTGGAGTTTGAATCTTTTAATTTGGTACGCGTTTCGGCGTTTGTTTACTTGGCGTCTCCCCTAAAATTTTCTAAAGTACCTGAAATTCCCTGAGATTTTCAAGTATAACAGGAAGCTCCCCAGACCACCATGAATTGACTGGATTGTCAATTTTTTTTTTTTTTTAAAGTTACTCATTATATATTCACCCCTTCAATATGCTTATGGGCGTTTCATTTATTTATTCTTCATATGTTTTAGGGTTTTTAGATTGGCAGCCGGATCAAAACCTCAATTCTCATTCTCACCTTGAAATCAATTTTTAGAGGAGTCTTTTATACTTGTCTCGACATTTCGAAACAACATTCTCAATTCGAACGAGTCAAGAGTCCAATTTTGTGGAGAATTTTGTCATCCTCATGAGTCATGACATACATATTAGATGAGTTAAACGAACAAAATAACTAGGTTGATGTCTTAGAAAGAGTTTTGAGGGGGTTTGAATAACAACACTCATTTGATAAGGAGAACAAAAATGTTACTCATTCCATAATATTATGGGCTAATTTAGTGAACCTTTTTCTCCTTTTGGGCCCCTTAGATGCACTTGGGCCAGGTTTGTTAGATGAGCCCAACACAAATCCAAGACTAGTCCAATAAAAGTTGCAAGCAAACCCAAATTACTAAATTGTCAAAACTCAAAGCAAGAATCCAACTATACATTGTTTAGTGGAAAAGGGTCATCAGATTAGAATAAGCAAAATCATTTCTCAATTAGTATCAAACCTTTCAGCTAATTAATTTCAAAAAAATAATTTATAACCCCTAATCCCAATAGAGGCATATTATATATAATTCATTATATTATATTATATACTCTTGAATATGCCTTTAGTGATTGAATATATTCGTTAATGAAAACTTTAGAAGTTTTTTCTTTTTTTTTTTTTGTAAAATCAAGAAGATAATATGAGCTTTAATTAGTCCTTAATTTATTAAAGCTTCTACAGTACAATCGAAATCGGTGGGTACCCCAAGTTCTTGATCCAGTTCCTACCCGAAATCACCCCTCACAAGGTCGATTCCAATTCTAGCACTGCAAGAATCAAGAACGGGAATCGAAACTGGATTCTGGACCATTGGTTCATCATTTCATCAACCCTTCAACCGTAATCTAAGGGTTTGTAGAAGACATTATTACATATGAATTATATGGTTCAATGAATTATTAGACGAACTATTTCGTTTTAGTACTGTATGTCCATTTTTAACTAGGTTAATATTACAGCTTGACTAATAGGGATTTGAAACCCGAGCATAAGTAAGGAAAATACCCATCAGTGGATAGCCTAGATGGTTAGGGTAAATTGGGGATTGAGTGGATAGACGCATGGTCTTAGGTTCAATTCCCCATTTGAACATCCGCGATTTAAGTGGAAGACTACGGTGGTGGGTTGCTGCACTAATCTTTCCCCAAGACAAATCAAGGTGCATGTATGTGATGACTCTCTTTCTAGCTTATATACTCATAAAATAACAGTAAACTTACTGAATATGTATAAGAGAATATAAACATATAAACGAGTATGAAATTATGGACCCATATTTAATTTTCTTTATACACTAAACTTTACATAATATAATAAAGTCTCAAAATAGTAACTCGACAGTTTTGCCCAAACCTTCCGCTGCGTGATGTTCCAAGTGATTGTATCTCACCTGTTTCCTGCAAAAAACATTGAAAACAACGGGTTGAGCACTAATTGCTTAGTAAATAAACCCGTTATGCTACCCTTCTCTCTCCGTTGCTTAAATTTTGAATTTATTTCCTTACTTCACATTTCCCCATTCTTCTCTATTCTTTCTCTATTCTTACTCTGTTTTTCTCTCTATTCTTTCTCTGTTTTTTTTTTAATACTAGTATCATATAATCACGTTAACAATGATAATAATTTGAGAAAAAATTATTTTGTTGAAGTGAAAATAAAGTTTCTTGGGCTCCATAAATTATGGATTTGAAAATTAAACTATTTAAAAGGAAATTTAAGTATAAATTATTTAATTGTTTAATTACTTATATATAAAAATTAGAAATAAAAATATCGAAGGTCAAAAGTGACTTTTGGCTAAGGTGGAGGACCAAAATCACGGGAAATTAGAAATGAAACATGTTGTGCTTCTATTGAAACTACAAATATTGGTACTACTGCACTACTGCAACACATGGTAAACGATGTCGTTTTGTCCACTTCTGAATAGGGGTGGAAAAAACAAAACCGAAAACCGGTCTGAATATTTGGTTTTTTTCTGGCTTCCGTTCAATTTCGGTTTGCCATATTTTGTAAACCAAATATTCTGTTCGATTTCGGTTTTCTGAAATAAATAAAACGATTAACCGGAATTGAATTTTTGAACCGGTTAAATGAATAAAAAATAAATTTATATTTTATTATTTTTCAATTTAAAAAAAAAATTATCCTAGGTTCAGTCTTCACTTATGTGCATTTTCCATCTAGACTTTACACAAAACATCTTTTGTGCCACTGTCGACCAATCTCATTGCCAGTTGCAGCCTACCGTCACCCATCTTTCTAGTCACCATGGACCGTCGTCGCTCAACCTTTGTGAACCACTGAACCTTCCCTTCACATTGTCTAGCCAGTAGCTTTCTCCCATTTTCATCTAAGTTCACTACCAGTTGCCACGGCTAGATTTCTAGTCACCGTTGAATCGTTGACCGTCGTCGCTCAACCTTCATGAGGCATGAACCTTCGCTTGACATTGTCTAACCCTCTCCCATCTTTGCATTTTGTCTCAGAGGTTTCAATTCATTGCTAGTTGATGCCGCCGTCTTTCCAATCACCGGTACAACCGTCTTAGTTCACTGCTGGCATCTTTCTAGTCACCAATTCGACCAATTCTCATTTCTCTCTGAAACCCTGTCTCTTTTGCTAAAAACCTAAACCCATTTTCAATTCATTTCAGGTGCGGTTGTTGTCTGCCGTTGTTCCAGTCACCGTCGACCGTCATCACTCGAACTCCGTGAATCTTCACTTGAGAACACACAATAGCAGCACGTGAGCAGGTGGCCCATTTGAATAAACCTGTCAAAAAAAAAAAAAAAATTGGCCAAAGTGGTGGGTTTGATTGAATTGGGCCGAATTATCCAGCCCATTTGAGTTAACTGGTTTAAAACCATTTAATTGGATTGAATTTTAGGTCCAATTAAAAAACTGTTTACAAAGAAAACATGACCGATTTTGGTTCAATTTTTTAAAAAAACCGAAAACCGGTTCGATTCAAGTTTAGGTATTTCCACCCCTACTTCTGAAACTGGATGTTTTGCAACAAAATTATTCCCCCCTCCCCGGTACACTTTTCATACTCTATTCTATTCTAGTATCTTATCGAATCCAATGAAAAACATGTTTGTTTTAACATTGACTATTCAATTCAATTTAAAATCCAATTCTATTCTATTCAACTCAAAACATTTAACAATTACCTTTCACAATAAAAGTTTATAAATTAACAAAAACACCCCTACCCAACCAAGCCACTATCACCTGCCAGCAGCCACCGTTGCAGTTGCCACCTCCAAACGTCGATGTCGGAATGACACATGACTAGCTGGATCTAACTGATCGTGCATTGATCTTTCCTTTTTCGACCAGAGCTATCTGGTTGTTGACGGCGACTAGAAATCTAACCATAAATCTAGTCTTTTATGATTATATGCATAGTGGATATAATCGAAAAAACAAGATCGGCGCATGACTGGCTAGATCCAGCTAGTCGGGCCCCATTTTGGTGACTAACAGCCACCATCTGGTGGTAGTGGCCAACTTTTGGCAATCGGTTAGGTGTATGGGGGTGTTTTTGTTAATTTATAAACTTTTATTATAAGGAATAATCTACTGCATGTTTGGCTAAGTATTTTTATCTATATTTTAGACCGGATTTTACAAATGTTGTTTGTTTTATTATTTACAGAATCCTATCCTGATAATGGAATCCTGACAACTATCCTAACATGTTTTTTTGACCATTACAGTTTGTTTTTTCATTTTTTTTCACTGCTTCACCATTTCACTTTCTCAGTATCACTGCATCCTCACTACCAGCTTCGTGCTTCAGTTCTCAATTGGCATTACCGTTTTCAGTGCTTCACCTTCTCAATATCCATCACCATCATTTCAGTTTCTGATAATCCATTACCAGGTTCAGTGTTTCACTTCCCAGTTTGCATTACCACCATCTCCCTTTCTAGTTTCCAGTACCAGCACCGTGAACCCCCAATGCCTTCTGTCACAAACCCACATTCTAACCCAACGTGAACCCACCGTCAACCCGGAAATCCCTCACACACAATCCCACCGTGAACCCACCTCAAATCCGCAGTCGTGAACCCACTGTGACCCGATCTGTCACACACAACCCCACCGTGACCCGATCTACCCCAAACCAACCCACCCCGAGCAGCCATGCACCCACCGAGACCCGATCTACCCCAAACCAGCCCACCCTGAGCACCCACGCACCACCGCGACCTGATCTACCCCAAACCAGCCCACCCCGAGCACCCACGCACCACCGCGACCTGATCTACCCCAAACCAGCCCACCCCACCCCGAGCACCCACGCACCACCGTGACCCGATCTACCCCAAACCAGCCCACCCCGAGCAGCCATGCACCCACCGAGACCCGATCTACCCCAAACCAGCCCACCCTGAGCACCCACGCACCACCGCGACCTGATCTACCCCAAAACACCCCCCCCGATCACCCACGGCACCCACCGCCATCTACCCACAACCATCCCACCCCGAGCACCCACGCACCACCGCTACCCGATCTACCCAAACCAGCCCACCCCGAGCACCCACGCCCACCCGACCTATCTACCCCACACCAGCCCACCCTGAGCACCCACGCACCCACCGTCACCGTGACCCGATCTCCGCAAACCCACACCCTGATCTGGATCAAACCGCACCCCAATCTTCATCAAACCCACCTCATATCTGTGTAAAAGTGGGAACAGTTGCATTTTCTCTTAGTTTGGCATGAATGGAT